GTGGCGCTGTGGCGGGATGGGTGCTATGGGGGTGAGGGCATGAAGGTTTCTCAAAAATCCTAAAGGGGGCGTGATGCCAAAAAGTTTGGTAACCACTGATCTAAAGCTTCTATGCCAATGAAGGGCAACCTTGGCTAGTAAATGGGCTGCACAAGTGGCCCTCCTTCATCTGAGTGGGCGGCAAGATTGTCGTAATCAAGATGGTCTCCCAGGATAGTGTAGTTTTGCTAACTTGCATACGTAGAATGTGCAGGGTGTGCCAGTTGAACTATAGCAGCGCTTTGATTGGATGCGGAGGGAGTGCACGGCTCTCACGATGTTTTGTGCAATCAGCACGCACTTCACTTCATGTCCCCTTGTTTTAAGTGCGTGTCACTTTTGTAATACCGGCAAGAAAAAAAAATGTGGACGAAAACCAGCAAAATCTGTCAACCCTGTACGTGGGCAACAGTTTAAAAAAAAAAAAAAAAAGTCTCAGGGGCCACACACAGAACCCTAATGGGCCACAGGTTGCTCAGCACAGATTCTCTGCTCTTTGCTTTTGGAGGACAAGAAGATAACAACTAGAAGAAAGTTTGTTTGAATCTGTGCACCGTTCATGATGGGACATAATGTGGCTTTAAACTACCGGCCATGAAGAAGGGGTTTGAGGCAAAAGAGCAGAAACCCCAAGATGCATTTTGGCCAGCTCAGCCAATATTCCTCTGGGATCCAAGGATGGAGTTGCCAGGAGAAAGCATAACTACATCCTTAGAATAGCTATGGGCATCACTAGCCTGGTGCCTTCTGTGCTCCCATTCAGATGACACCTGGTCCGTCTGCCCTCTACACGCCCTCCAGGACCAGCCGAGATCTGGTCTTATACAGATTTACATGGTTTCAGAATCAGTCTCAGGATTAAAAAAAAAAATCTGTATGTCACTAACAGCACAGAGGCTTTTAAAGACCATATTGTGATGTGACTGCTTATGGAAGCCCTCTCTGTGGCCAGGGCTGCCTCTGCAGTGTATGGCTAGTGATTGCTCCCTTAGATTGCACGTACTGTTTTGAGGTAAAAAATAACCCTGCTTGGAGTCTGAGTTTATTTACTTCAGTTGTAATGAATGTCCCCTACCCAAACATTTCTCTTTCTCCTCCCAGGCTTCCATGCTGGGAGAGCTTAGCAGGCTACTCACCACCCTTTCTGCCTGAAGTCTTAGTCCCAGCCCCCAGGCCTTGCTAGCGCCAAGGAAGCACTAGCAACTTCTGTACTCCATGGCTGTCTACACATTGGCGCAAACTTGCACCAAAGCAGCCACTTTTGCACACAAACATGCTGCCTGTCTACACTGGCAGGGAATTCTTGTGCAAGAACACTGATGTTCTAATGTAAGAAATCAGGGCTTCTTGCGCAAGAACTATGATGCTCCTGCTCAGGAATAAGCCCTCTTGTGCAACTGTTCTTGTGCAAGAGGCCAGTGTAGACAAGCAACATGAATTGCTTGCACAAGAAAGCCTGATGGTTAAAATGGCCATTGGAGCTTTCTTGAGCAAGAGAGCAGCTACACTGGCACTGATGCTCTTGAGCAAAAGCACATCTCTTGCGCAAAGGCACATGCCAGTGTAGACGCTCTCTTGTGCAAATACTCTTGCATTAAAGAGTATTTGCGCAAGATCATGCCAATGTAGACGTAGCCCATGTGTCTCCTCTCTTTACTACAGCCACCTGCTGCACTTCATTTGCCTGATCCCACTCAGCTGGCACTCATCCAGTCATCAGGACTGTCTTAGCTCCAGGGTCTCTGGCCCAGGGAGCAAGTCACCCTGTTAGAAACCTGTTCGCTCTAGATATTAGAGAGACCCTTCTTGTTCAAACCAAGGATGTAAGTGAGTAGTTTACTACCCGATAAGCTTAGGTAGCTGAGTCACTATTTGACTATTCGTTTCCCACCTTGCTGCCTCTGTTGCCTTTGTATCAGAGGCAGCAAGGGGGTGAGAGCAGGAGTGGGAGCTCTTACTACCAGTGCAGGAGCAGGCAGCTCTTAGTACATTTAAAAAGCAGAGGGGCAGTGGTTAGGGACCAGGTGCAAGCTGGGACTGAAGCAGTCCCAGATCATGCCAGCATCCCCGCTGTGGCTCTGCCATTTAAAAAGCAGAGGTGCAGCGGTCCCAGAGCCAGCACGAGCCGGTATTGCTCAGTCCCAGCTCGCAGTGTCTTCAGGAGCTAACCTTGCTGTGGCTCTGCCATTTAAATGTAGTAGGAGCTGGGCTGCCTGCATGCTCGGCTCCTACTACATTTAAACTGCAGAGCTGCAGTAGGAGTAGCGAGTGCCCCTCCATCAACTAATTGAGTAGTTGATAGAAATTCCATCGACTACTCAATTAGCTAATTAAACACTACTTAACATCCCTAATTCAAACATCTGGTATTTGTCCTTGCTGGAAGAAAAGCAGAAGATTCTGAATGTGTTTTAATTAGGCTGCATCTTTATTCCCTTGTAGTATCTAAGAGTACCATGTAACAAGTTGTAGAATGCAGGGAGAAGGAGGTTGTGATCCTGATGATCCAGGTTTCGGAGCCCCAACTCTGCTCTTCAGCTCCCTTTAAAGGAGGTTAGGAAAAGGAAGGGGATGTCAGCTCCCCATTGATGAGATGGAGTCGCAAACGCCCCTTACTCAGCTCCCCTAACGGATGCTTCCAGCCCAATCCTGGGAAAGACTGCCTCTCCAACCTGCACGGGGATGTAAATACTCTTTCCACTTTGCCCGTGATCAGGAAGGGCAATGCCGTGACTTTGACTGGTCCCGTGTGCATTGTACCTTTCCCTGTTGGCTTTCCTCTTTCTCTCTCCTCTGTCGCAAAGAGTCCTTAAAGGAGCAACATCCCTCTCCTTCCAGTTAGCTGGACACAGACCCACTCACATAAGAGCTTCAGTGGGAATATTTCAAAAACTATTCTTTTCTGGGTTCCAGTTAGGGATGTTAATGGTTAACGGAATAACTGGTAAGGACTAACCAATTTGGGGCCTGCCATTGGCAGGGGGGGGGGGCCTCTGCTCCATCCCCATGGAGACTGCTGTGGGCAGCGGGCTGGCTCCTGCAGCTTGGCTGGAGCAGCCCCTGTGTCCATGGCAGTGGGTCCACTCCAGCTTGGACACGGCTGGCAGGGAAGCTACTTTACTGTAATAGGCAAGATTCTATACCCATTGAAATCAATGGGAATTTTGCTGTTGACTTCAGTGCGAGTAGGATAAGGCTGGCTATACGTTATTTTTATTTGGGAACAGAACTGAGTATTAAATACATTTTCAGCTGTGAGGTATCTTTTCTATAAAATGAGTGCTATGTGCAATTAAAAATATGACATCAGATAACAATAATAGTTATGTTGGGGACTAATCTTGCATGGCGCTGAACAGCTCCTGAGAAATGTGTTGAAAGGGATGGACTTAGCACCTGCCAGTAGATTCTTAACATCTTGCGGAATCAGAATTATCAATATTAGATGTGACGTATCAGTCAGCAGCAGAATGACTTTGGAATAAGAAACTTAAAGAAACCTGTGTAGACACGACGAGGAGTCCTGTGGCACCTTATAGACTAACTGAAGTGTAGGAGCATAAGCTTTCGTGGGCAAAGACCCACTTCGTCAGATGCATGTAGTGGAAATTTCCAGAGGCAGGAATAAATATGCAGGCCAGGATCAGGCTGGAGATGACCAGGTGGATCCAATCAAGGAGGATGAGGCCCACTTCTAGCAGCTGATCTGGAGGTGTGAATTCCAAGAGAATAGAAGCTGCTTTTGTAGTTAGCAAGCCATTCACAGTCTTTGTTTAATCCAGAGTTGATTGTGTCAAACTTAAAGATGAACTGTAGCTCAGCAGTTTCTCTTTGAAGTCTGGTCCTGAAGTTTTTTTGCTGCAGGATAGCTACTTTTAGATCTGCAATTGTGTGTCCAGGAAGATTGAAGTGTTCCCCTACAGGTTTTTGTATGTTGCCATTCCTAATATCAGATTTGTGTCCATTGATTCTTTTACGTAGGGACTGTCCTGTTTGGCCGATGTATATAGCAGTGGGGCATTGTTGGCACATGATGGCATATATTACGTTGGTGGATGTGCAGGAGAATGTACCAGTGACAGTATGGCTGATCTGGTTAGGTCCTGTGATGGTGTTGCTGGTGTATATATGTGGGCAGAGTTGGCACCGAGGTTTGTTGCAAGGATTGGTTCCTGAGTTCGAGTTATTATGGTGCGGTGTGTAGTTGCTGGTGAGAATATGCTTCAGGTTGGCGGGTTGTCTGTGGGCAAGGACCGGCCTACCTCCCAAGGCCTGTGAGAGCGAGGGATCATTGTCCAGGATGGGCTGAAGATCACTAATGATGCGTTGGAGAGGTTTTAGCTGGGGACTATAGGTGATGGCCAGTGGTGTTCTGTTGGTTTCTTTCTTGGGCTTGTCCCGTAGCAGGAGGCTTCTGGGTACACGTCTGGCTCTGTCAATCTGTCTCCTCACTTCCTCGTGTGGGTATCGCAGTTTACAGAATGCTTGTTGAAGGTCTTGTAGGTGTAGGTCTCTGTCTGAGGGGTTGGAGCATATGCGGTTGTACCTCAGTGCTTGGCTGTAAACAATGGATCGTGTGGTGTGTCCGGGATGGAAACTGGAGGCATGCAGGTAAGTATAGCGGTCGGTAGGTTTTCTGTATAGGGTGGTATTGATATGACCGTCACTTATTTGTATCGTGGTGTCCAGGAAATGGACCTCCCGTGTAGATTGGTCCATGCTGAGGTTGATGGTGGGGTGGAAGCTGTTGAAATCATGGTGAAATTCTTCCAGAGTCTCCTTCCCATGGGTCCAGATGATGAAGATGTCATCGATGTAGCGTAGGTAGAGAAGGGGTGTAAGTGGACGAGACACTTCTGCACAGCAAAAGAATATTGGACTCTGAGGGGAGAGGGAAAGTAAAGTTGAGCTTTTCTCTTGTGGCGCTTTATATTTCAAGATCCTCTCTAAAGTGTGCTGCTGGCCTTTTGGTATGAGTAATTATAGCAGCTTGTTTTTCACAGTATTTAAATCCTTTTCATGATAATGAAAAGGTAATATGTGCATTTTCTATAGTATATTATATTTTCCAAAAACTCTCCAACAACAGGTTCATACAGACAATAGATTTAACTTAGTAGTTAAAAAATAATACTCCTATTGTAATAGAAGCAAAGAATATACAGCATGAGCAGCAAGCCTCAGATTCTAGCAACTATGTTTTCACGGGCTGGGATTTAAAAGGAGCGAAAAGGATTTAGACTCTCAAGCACCATTGAAATGCAGTGAGATTTGGATGCCATATTCTCTTGGTCCCCTTGGAAAATTCCTGCTTTGCTACTTATGGATAATTTACAACTCAAAGAATAAACCTCATGATTATAACTGGATCTAATGATTTAAGGTCTGCAATGTAATGTTTCTAAACAAATAATACAAAATCTTAGAATTCTATTATTATCTTCTTTCCCCTTCTTCAAGCCACCAAGAACAGATTCAGCTTCAAAGAAAACAGTACTCACAAAGCAAAAAAGATTTGAGATTGGTGCTGACTGAATTGAAGAAGCAGCAACAGGAATTGAGTCCTGATGTTCAGGCTGGTTTGCAGGAGAAACAAGCACAGATAACAAACTATATAAAACTCCTGCAAAAAGCAGAGAGTTTAACATTCCTATTACATGAATTAAAAAGCCAAGGAGATTACCTAAAGGACTGCGTTGAGGATTCCTGCTTCATGGAAGAATCATGGTTAGAACTAAAACATCTGCATGAAAGTCTGCTCAGCCAGTTGCAGGTTGGAATCATGCCATGTTTTGTTATCATGTTATTAGTTTTAGTATGCGTAATTATTTAATTATTTTTGCTTGCTATCTCATTAAACTATCAGCTCAGAATGTTGTGGCATAAAGTGAGGACACTCTGAAATGAACTTCTTTATTAGTTTTCTGTTTTGAAATTAAGGCCAAATCTTAATTAAGGCCAAATCTTCTCTACTGGGCAAAACTAAAGTAATTAGCAGTGCGTTCCTCTGCGAATTGGTAGGTAAGGAATCCTTCTCCAGGCCACAGAGTGGAAGAGAGGGCCCCTTAAGGTTTTGATCTTCTGTTGCTTTGTGATTTGCCTAGGAGTAAAGGATAGCCCAAAGTGGGGACTGGTGAATGTGAAGTATTGATAAACAACAAATCAAAATAGTAGCATTTTATATGTACTAGTATAGGTGCAAACAGCTACATAGTGCAAAGAAGAGGAGAAAGAGGACTTTTACTAATCTATTCCTAGAGTCACACAGCTACTCTAGCCTTAACTTCTGTTGTGTCGTCCTCCCTCATGCCCGAGGATAAGGGTTGGTTCCATGTAGGTGTTGATCCATGGACTTTGTTTCTGCATCTACCCTGGTGTTCCTTCATGTTTGGACAAAAGATGGATCATCTGAGGATCACAGCTGTGCAGTGGGGATGTGAACTGGTAACAGGTTAACCAGTTGCCAGGTTATGCTTACCGGATACCAGGGAGTGGAGGGTGGTAGCGCAGCCCGAAGCCCCACAGATGGGGGGATGGCAGCGGTAGTCCATTTAATCAGTTAACTGGTTAACTGGGATTTTACATCTCTACTTTGAATAGATCTCAGGAAACATCTAGTGGCTTGATGGTCACTATCCATATGTTTTCAATGGTCACTGGATGTGTGTATGAGCACTTTGGATAAGCAGAGGCAAATAAATGAATGCCTGATACAAATTAGGGATGTGAATGGTTAACCAGCAGCCAGGCCAGGCTGGAGCCCCCCTCCTCCCCCCCCCCTCCCCCCCCAATGCTCCTCCATCCATACAATGCAGTGTGGGTTCTTTGCCCTTGCTCTCCGCGTCCTTTTTAGGGTGGTGCCCACAATGTGCTAGATACTTTCCAGACATTCAAAAAGGAACAGTCACTGACCGGAGAAGCTTGTCTAAAGATACTCAAGCTATTATGGGAAGGAGAATAACAATCATACAACTACATTTAAGACCATGTTTTTCTACAGTGTAGTTATGAGAGGGATACAGCTGTCCAAAGGATGGAGCTACCTGCTTGATCATGGTGAAGTACAATTGCCATTTGCTTTAGAGGCAAATCACTGGCAACCTTTTCAATTTTTAAACACTTGAATGCCCTAGCACAGTGATTCTCAAACTGTGCTCCGCAGAGCCCCAGGGCTCCGTGAGACATCTCCCGGGGCTCCGCGAAGTTGACAAACTGGAAACATCGATAGGTACAACACATACGATCAGTGGACCGCTGGGGCGCCGCATCAATTTTTACGCATGTAAAGGGCTCTGGAGCCCAAAAAGTTTGAGAACCGCTGCCCTAGCAGAGCTATCTAAACCCTTCTGTAAGCATCCATCTGAGCTGTGTTTTGTATGAGGTAATACTGAAATAAATGTACAAACTGCTTGTCTTCTAGGACTTACCACAGGCACTGGAAGGTTACGGTCAAGAATACCAAGAGTTCCAGGATACATTGGCAGTCTTGAGTAGCAAGCTGAATAGGCAATGTGAGGAATTTTGCCATTTCACTGATACCTCGGTGGAAAAGCCAGCAGCTGTTCAACATCAGTTGAAATTGCAGGTATGACGCGGTTTTTGGATACTATTGTTAATGGATCCCTGCCATGGAATTGTAGACCTTCAAGACAGCACTGTGTTTATAAAGGTGGTGAGTCAATTGTATTAATCCAATTAACTAAACCATCTGGTTCTCTCCAAAATGTAAAATGTGGGTGATCTACCTTTTAGGAGGTAACTGCATTCCTGACCCTGCTGCCAGTGGACTTTAGCTGTTGGCTTCACTGGAAACAGACTCAGGCCCTAGCTCCATTAGATTTCCAGAATTCAGCTTCTTTTCAGTGGGGCACAAGGAAGAGAGTGAATCTCAAACATATGGCTGTTGTGTCTAAAGTGGCCGGTATTCTGAATACAGACTGGATAGAGTAGCTCAGGTTGAGACAAACCCACAATTGTATGAGCCAGTTGGAGTATCATTGTTGTCACTGAGTGTAGAAAGAAATTGAAGGATGATATATCAGCTCAGATCACTGGTCTGTCAAGTCAGGCACCTTGACTCCAATGCTGGTGGATTCCTGTTGCCTAAGAAGAAAGTTAACTCCTTCATTTTCTCTCTAACAGGTTGTGAAATACAGTACATAATAGAGGTGTGGGGAGGAAGGAGGACTTCCTTCTTAAATCTTGCCAAATTCAGCATATTCCTTGAGGCTTAAAATTTGATTGCTCCATTATTTTATTACAGTATAGTTGTAGATGTTGTTCCTCATCACAAAAGTATCCAGCTTCTTTAAAATTCCAGTTGCAGTATTTGACTTTCTGCAGCAGTCAAGTAGCATTACATGAATAGTTCATGCATCTTGCCGCATAAGCTGTTCTTTATGACAAAAGTTAATGAGTTTAATAAATCACTATATACTGTCATTATTATTATTATTACAAATGTCATTTTAACATTGGGTAAATTGAATGAAGACACTTTTCAATAAACTTGTTTCCTCTCTTTAAAGGAACAAGCACCTCTTAGTCAATGTGAAGACAAGTTAAAGAAGATTTTGGCTTTAGCAGAATCTGTGGAAGAAAACACTTCTTCATCGGGACAGAAGATTTCTAAGGATGCAGTGGAAACACTTCAGTGTAAACACAGAAGTTTGAAGGAGAGACTTAAAAATGTCAAGCAAACGGGTGAGAATAGTCTCAGAGACACTCCAGATTCAAAGCATGCCTTTGCTGATGAAACCAAGACCCAAGATAAGTCAGATAAAATGATAGAGAGAGAGAACCAGGTCTTTTCTGATACTCCCACTGTTGTTGAAGAGAACAGCAGAACAGAAGAGCTGGAAGAAGACTGGAAAATGGATATTGTAAGTATGTGTGTTTATGGCAAGCAGAATGAGAAATTGTGGGCAAAGAGGCATTTGTCTCTCAAAAGCATATAATCGATTGTACCTTTTCATAAATAAAACTTTCCATAAATTGCACAATTATAAACCAAAGCATGTACAAGAATTTTCCAAACCTGCTCCACACATTACATTAGTATGACACTCACTTTATTTAAAACCTCAATTGTCAATTCATGCCTCTAGTTTCTCTCTTCTTATGTAATCAGATTGAATATTTTGGGTCAGAAATCTCAAGAAGAGTGAGAAGAGGAGGTGGTAAGAGAGGAAACATGCTGTGACCATTCTGTAACATTAAATACTAAGCCACTGCTTTTGCTGTAATTTTATACAAAATAAGAAAGGCTTTTAAAGCCAACAGGTTTCTATTTCCTTTGTGCCAGAAAGCTGGTATAAGAATTTTTTTACCTCTGTCTGTATATTATAATTAATCACAGGTTAATATTTTCCACTCTAAATTTTGTTTGTTTTATTTTTACTGGTTCTCTTTAGTGTCAAGGTTTAAATGGAAATGTAGAAGACCAAGAGCAACAACATAATCTGTATTCTGAAGAAAACAGATTATTGGCAGACAGTCCAAATAGTCCTCTAAAAGATCAAAGCAAGAATATACAAGAGCAAACAGTTCAGGTAATAGAGAACTAAGTTCTAATTAAGTCATAACATGTGTGATTAAGTATGTGCTCATTATATCAAGAAGAAAAGGAAAATAATGTGTGCGGACCACAGAGGGAACAAGCATTATTGTTTCAGTAAATAAATATTACCTGTCAGTAGTTGGAGTTCTTTTATGTGACCTTTGCATGTTCACCGTTGTGCAATGTGCCAGTGGGACAGGTTGGCTCAAGGCACAGGTGCCTTGATTCACCAGGCAGACTGGGAGGAGACCACTTGGAGAACAACCACTGTAACTGTCTCCCAGCCCATGGATACCACTGAAGCAGAGCAAAGACCATTAAAACTTTGTTAAATTAGCGATACAGATGTTTCTCGGAGAAGGAAGAAGGGTCATGGGTAGGGCTGTAGGATTGTCAGGTACCTTTAAGGACAAGTCATGGTACAAATACTAGAAGTTTTGGGAATAATTACATAGAGCAATTAAGGTTCTTATCCTACAAGTAGCTCTGCACAGGTGGACACTCATACCTGAGCTGAGCTTTTATGGGATCCCTTTCCAGAATCAAGGTGAGTTAGTTTCTAGAACCGGGCCTCTAGATTGTTTAAACTGCTTTCAGGGCACAACTTGATTTACTGAATAGGTAGCTAGTGCCCCTTTCGCTGTTACGTTGTCCTACGTATAGATTTGGGCCTTTTTCACTGATTTTCCACAAACAGTGGCTGTCTGTCCCAGTAGTCAGAGCAGGAATCAGGCTGAGGAACCAGGGCCCAGGGTTAGAAACATAGAGTCTGAATGACAGAGACAAGGGTTGGTATAGCGTCAGAGCCAGGAATCAGAGCTGAAGATTAGACCCGGATTAATTGGAAGGCAAAGAAAGAAGGGGAAGGGCTGTTCCAAGACAGGAGTAATGATGGGATAGTATTAGAGGACTAGATGGTTCAGAGGGTAGAGCAAGGCAGAAGCAGGGCTTGCAATGAGGCAGGTACAAGGAAGTTGAAAATCCAGAGGCATGTGCACGGAAGAGATGCTTACTTTCTGTAGTTGCTGGGCTTATACACATGCCACCTGATTGCTTTAGCCAATCCAGCATCTCTGTTATGGCCCAACTGTGCTCATTTGCTTCCTGGAGACGGGCAGATGCTGCAGTCAGTGCTAATTCCTGACCATGACTTTCCACTGTCAGGGTGTCCACGTTGGTGGCTCTCCTGCATCTCTTCAGAGGCCAAAGCTCAGTTAAATGATTATTTATACTCAAGATATTTATTAAAGAGCAGATTTGGATGCTTTGACTGGAGGATTAAGAGCAAGGATCTTCCTCGACAAGCAGTCCCACTGTGGGAGCACTGTGGAGTGGATTGCTAGTCTGTGTGAGTCTTGGTGTAGTATGTAGCTCTTGACTAATAATACACTTTTTAAAAAAATCAGGAGAAGCATAGTGTAGGGATGCAGGTTGTGGCAATAGTGTAGGGATGCAGGTTGTGGCAAAGCAGGGTAGCGTTCAGCTGAAAATGTTTGACTACTCTGTGTGATGATGACATAATGACCAAGGAAGTTAATCAACACAAGGGGAGAATTGCACTCAAGGTGGTAAGGGTCAGCTGCATCACAAAAAGAAAAAACAAGGTGCTGTGCTTCTGACTCTGGGTCATACTCTCAGTATCTAGCCCAAATTCCATGCAAATGTAAATAAAACCAGCAGAAATCCTTGTTGAGTCTCCTTCCAGAAAATGCCTCACTATATACAGAGGCTTGTTGGACCAATACAAGGCAAACTACTGGACTGGGGACCTAAGTTCCTTGTAAGCTGCACAGCCTGAAGCTACCTAGTTAGCACCACACAGGCACTCCAGAAAGCTGCACAGGACTGGGACCTGCAGCAGCCAGGGGAGGGCCACCCTGCTGCCCATCTCCAACCTAGCCCTCAGCCATGATTGATGGTTTCTGGCCTGGCCAGTGGACCCAGTCCCAATCCTCCTGTGGCTATGGGGGCCTGGCCTCCATCCTGCCCTGGTAGCCTGGTCCTGGCCCCCGTCCAACTGCAGTGGCCAGGCTTCAACTGCAGCTTTCATCTGGCCCTGGAAGCTGTGGTTCCCATAAGGCCTTGACTGACCCAGTCCTGACCCTGTGCTCAGGGGCACTCCAGCCCCAGTACTGACACCGCCACAGCTGGGGTGGTCTGGCCCCAGGCTTGATTCTGCCACAGGACTGGGGATGGGGCCAGGCTGTTGCCAAACCTTGGCAGGATTGGGGGTGTGGCCGAGTGGCCATGGCCAGATGAGGGCTGCCATGTTTATTTTCATGCATCTACAGTTTGGACTCATCTTATCACCATGTTGTTCCTGTGAGCCACATAGTGAAACTGAGCCTTGGCTCTGTAAAGAAATAAAATATCAGCATGTTTGGAAATAACATAGTCTGCATCTATACAGCTGGCAGTTATTTTAACATAATGTCAAAATACTGTCAAACGGGAGGGCTTCTTACTCCGACTCCTTAACCCTCATTGTACGAGGAGTAAGGGAAGTCGGAGGAAGAGTGCTCTGTTTCGAAATAGGTGCTGTGTAGACAGCACCAAAACTTGAAATAAGTTAGTTGGAAATAAGCTACGCAATTGACGTAGCCCAATTTGCATAGCTTATTTCGAGCCAACCCGAGCTGTGTAGATGCACCCTAATTGGCCTTCAGAGTCACCCCAAGGTTTTGGGACCTGGGAAAATCTCCACGGGAGAGCTCACTGGACAGCTTACTTTTCTCTGTTTATCAGCCCTCCTTATATGATATCCACCCCAACTCTCCCTTCACTTCCTCTATTTGTGGCTGCTTGGGTTATGAGGTCAGTGTGTCAATGTACTTTCTGCTCGCGGGAGGGCGGCGTGGGCAAAGTGGGGCAAAAGCACAGTTCACAGACCTGATTCTCCAATGTGCCGTATGTTCTGATTTGAGCTGTTTTGTTGCTATTCGTTCGCTGTATCACAGAAGAATCTGCGGTACAGATCCCCAGTCCTGGATCAGGAGAGGACTGTGCTAGGTAAACTGAGAAAAAGATTTTGAAAAAATCTATTCAGGCCACCCTGGCTACAACAAGATAGGGGCAAGGACCTGCCCATTGGGACTCCCATGGCAGGATGGGAGTCAGGGCTGCTATGGCAGGGGCTGGGGCCCGGTGGTTCTGGGTGTGGCAGCTTGGAGGGTAGGTCAGGGGTGGGGCAGTCCTCCCTTGGCTGCTGCTCTGCACAGCTTTCTGGAGCACCTGCATGATGCTAACTAGGCAGCTGCGCAGTGGCATGGTTTACTGGGAACTTAGACTCCAACCCTCTGCCCCAGGCCTGAGCCCCTTTCCACACTACAAACCCTTTGGCCCTATTCCTACCACATGAATTCTGGTATGTGCACCAATATGAAGATGATTAATCCAACCATGGAGGCTTGGCCCCCATCCTGCCCCAAATGCCCTGTTAGCCCAGCCTTGGCCTCTACCCTGTATGGGTCAGGGGGGCCTGAATAGACTTTTTTTTAAAAAAAAAAACGTTTTCTCGGTTTACTTAGCACAGCCTGGTTCTGATCCAGGACTAGGGAACTGTATGTGTATGATGTGCACCACTCTGGTGCCCATAATCAAATTCATTCCATTCAAGGGTGGGAAAAATTAGAGGGCACACTGCTTGGGACGATCCTCTGGGAAGCTCTTGCCTTCTGTCCCGTAGGATTCTGCTCCAGCAGATGCAGAAGGGCATCAGTCAATCTCAAGCATTAGCTTGGTACATAGGAAGAGGAATGTAGTCTTTTACCTTAGGTATCGAAGAGCCAGACCAGCTAGGGCTTCATAGATCAAAATAGACACTGACAGGAAGCTAGTGCACCCCACATATCAAGGAATGTGAAAAGTGAAAGTCAGAAGAAGAGAGCTAATCCATCACTACCTGCATTTTTTTAGAAAATTTGTTATGATAAAATTACAGCACTGCTTCTTCTTGTAAACCATCTTCTGTACCATAACCTTGCCCAGGGTAATCTGCATAGCTCAGTTGCATTTCCCTCATTTAATTGTAATTGTAGGCTTCAACGCCTTGTCATTTGAAATACTGTAATTATTAGTCAGCATGTCTGATGAAGGCTTTTTGATTACTTGTTCTTTCATTTTCCTAGCACCACAAGGAGAAATCCAGTGATGGAAATAATCAAGCATACAGAGAAAATGTCCAGCAGTTCCAACAATGGCTGTGCAGAGAGGAGCAAATGCTGAATTCCTTCACATCTGAAAAAGAGAGACCATCCTCTAAAGAAACAGTTCCCATTCTTGAGGTAACCCAAGATCAACTAATTCAAGTTCTGTTCTTAAGCATCTTTGAATGTTAACACTTCAGTTACATAGTCTGCTTGAAGAGCTATTGTAAAAGAAGAGACAGCCATTCTCATGTTAAAGTCTATTCATTTTATATCGAACTATTTTGTGATCCCTCTCCCCCAAACAATATATGTTAGGGGCTCTTTTCAATAAAAGGTGAGTCACAGTCAGCTCACAATACCTCCAAATTTAATCCTTATTTTCTAGTGTTTTAAGTTTGGTAGGTTAGAAGGAGTTATACTCAGTTCCTCAGCCCCTCTCTCTCATATATTACAACGATTAGTTCAGGTAAAGCAATCTCCATCAAGTAAAAGAAAGTATATTAAAGGATTAAATGTGGTTATAGTTTGACTCTAATACAATGCTCTATTAAACAAGTAAGGAAGAAAAATTGAATAAGGATTGAAAGCATAACCAGATAAAATACTAAACCTACTCTGTTGTATACAAGGTTACTAAATTTAAAAATATGTTAAATTATACCTGACCCATTTAAAATCCTAAATTAGGATTTTCTTACTCCAGATTTCTGCCTAGAGAATTGGTACTAGCCTTGTGTAGCTACAGCCAACAGCCAGATTTGATACCTGTTCCCTAAAATGTAAAGCTTTAGGCAGGTACTCATTAGATTTGCCCAAATTCATTCATTGAATTTTAGCTTCAGGAATCCTTTATGCTTTGTAACAGTTTGCCTGAAACACCCCATCCTTATGATATTCTTAGGAAAGTTGAATGTGATTTTTGCTGTTTGACTAAGAAAGGTGGGTATTGCTGCAGGATCTATGTGCTGAGCAGACCTGAGTTAGGAATCCAAAGAGTAGCCATACCTGAAGAGAAGACTTGATCCAAATTTTCCAGGTTTTCCAGGTTCTCTTGTTCCAGGATCTGCTCCCTATTTACTTCGCTTTCAGTAGCAGTCACTTAATGTAGATTTTGGCACATACAGCTGTCTGAGTGTTCCCTACTTGTATTCCATCATCAGTTCTGGTCCCAGTGAGACTTTGAAGTCATATCCTTCTTGACCGTTCAGAATACAGAGGTGTCAGAAGGAAACATTATTTTCCAGTATATGTGGTATATACTTAGCTCTTCTTATACCTTACCTTTCTGTGTTTCTTTATACCAGTGTTTCTTAAACTTTTTAAGACCAAGGAATACCAAACAATAATTTTTTTTTTTTATGAGGAGCACCATTGATTTTTTGTTGAGCAAAAACAAACAAACAAAAAGATTGGGGCGGCCATTTTTTACTCTGTTATTCTCCACGACACATCAGTGTGCCATGGAACACAGTTTAAGAAACACTGCTCTACTGCCTTAGAAGAGGTACTGGGAAGGAATTGAGTAAGAAAGGTAGCATTCCTTCCTTGCTCCTCTGGAGAAGTAACTTAGCCCTTTTTCCTAGACAATAAGATACTCCCACTCTTGCTCCGGCTCAGCTTTTCTGGCTGACATATTTGGCAGTGGAGCCAAGACTTCCCGTTACCTAGTATCTTCTGCCTCTTCCTTGCATCTTCTTGGAGTTGAAGGAGGTATTACATTTGCAGCTCCACACTCTGCTGTTCTCAAGCTGCAGTGTGGGGAGCTGCTATGCTGGGGAGAGGCAGAGGAGAGAAATCTTTCTTTTGTGTCCATGTTAGGCTGGACCTCAGCATGTAGAGCTGAAACCCTAAATACATGTGAAGAGAAATGTGCACCATATACCATCATCCGGAATTTTCCCTGTTTCCATTTCACTACTTTCTTCATGTTTGTGACTAGTGTTCCATCTGATGATGCTGTCTTCCCACTGACTCTCTAACAGCTAAATAACTGTTTTCATTTCCTGCAATGTCATGGCCCTTCAAGGCCTCGTAAGATGAAACCTGGTGTTTCTGTCTCAGTAGATATAATTTCAGTAGCTGTGTGGTTAGAAAAAATGGAAAAGTTCCATGACTATTTGATTTTCCTGACCAGGTATATTTGGTTCACAGGAAAAAGGTAACAAGAATAGTCTTAATTTTTGTCATTATTTTATTTAGTTCTAATAACGACTCTGAGGTGCAAGGCACTTTCCAAACTGAACAGATGGCTCAGTCCCTGCACTGAACAGCTCTGTGTAAACAGCCAGGATTGTGGGTGGTGGTACAACATACAAGGCAGATGGCTGAGGTGATATTTGGACACCTCTTAGTGATATTGTGTTGTGCTGACACAATATATTTGTAGTATTATTTATATTATGGTGCCACCTGGAATCTCCCACTGATATCAGGGCCTCGTTGCACTATGTTCTGTACATACTCCTAGCTGGAGACAGTCCCTGCCTGGGACAACTTACAATCTAAAGTGTTGGGGAGGGGAAATAGTATTGTTTCCACTTTACAGGTGTGAAATTAAGGCAGAGAGAGATTAAGTTATTTGCCCAAGGTTATGCAAGAAGTTGGTAGCAGGACCTGTCCAGTGCCTCAGTCAGAAGGCCATCCTCCCTATCAACCTACATATATGGACTATTCGCAAATGCTCTTCCAACTTGCCAGTATCCATCCACTCATGGAGAGGATCATTGCTTTGCAAAGAGTTCAAGCAAGGGCCTTCCATGTACTGGGAGCATGGAGATGCTTGTGACAGTCTGTCATCACTGCTAAACTAAGGGGTCTTAGGAGCAAAGTGAAACAAGAGCAGATGAGCAGGATAGGAGAGAGCTAAACAGGACTTTGAAGACAGTGATAAATTGCATGACCTGCATGCATTGGAGTAGAGTGATCTGGGGAGGAATTCAAAGAGGTGATGATGGGATCAGAATGATGGGCAAGGAGCATCTTTGCATTGTATGAATTGTATTAGTGATATGGGAAACCACAGAGGAGCAGGTTGCATTAATCCAGGCAGGAGAGGACAAGGGTCTGAATGAGAATTTTCGCTGCAGAGAGAGAAAGGCTTATACAAGTTCTGCAGAGGAAAGTGTGTTGGGATTTGGGCATTTCTGGAACACGAGGCTTAGTTAAAAAAAAAAAAAAAAGTAGAGAGCCTGCATTTTTATGTATACTGTTGAATGAAAAATCCTGTTTGCATTCTAGGGTTCAAATGTGGAAATGGCTTTCCAGAAGCAACTTCTTTGTGAAGCCCAAGCAAATGCTGAATATATTGTGAAGGAGCAAAAGGTCTCTGAGCTGAAAAATCAAGCTGCAGAATTGGATATTGTGTTAGTAAATGAGCAACTAAGAGAGCTAGAGGTATGGAACCAGCAAAGTAATTACATAGCTGAGTTTGTTCAATGTGATATAATATCACTAATCAAAAAACTATTAAACTGTTGCGTATAGTTTCATTCTACATGGGACTGATGATACAGTCCCACATAACACCCTTGTAAGCAAATGAGGGATATGTGAGCTAGATGAAATGACTATAAAGTGAGTGCACCACTGGATGAAAGACCATAATCAAACAGTAGTTATCAATGATTCATTGTCAAACTAAGAGCGTGTATCTAAGTACGGTTTTGCCATGCTCAGTCAAGGATATGGAACTATTCAATATTTTAATCAATAACTTGTACGACAGAGTGGAGAGTATGCTTACAAAATTTGCAGATGACACCAAAACTGGGAGGGGTTGCTAGCATCTGAAGGGCAGGATTAGAATTCAAAGTAAACTGGACAAATTAGAGAGTTAGTCTGAAATAGCAAGACAAAATTCAAGTGAAGACAAGTGCAGAGAGAACTTCACTTAGGAAGGAAAAGTCAAATGTACAACTAAAAAATGTGGAATAACTGGCTAAGCAGTAATACCACTGAAAAGGACATGGGATGTATAATAGATCGTTAATTGAATATGTGTCGGGAACCTGATAGTTGTGAAAAATACAATTTTGGGGTACATGAACAAGAATGTCATATGTAAGGCATGGGGTAATTGTTCTGTTGTACTTGGCAGTTCGTAAGGCCTTAGCTTTAATGTTGTGTCCAATTATGGGTGCCACATTTTAGGAAAAACGTGGACAAATTGGAGTGAGTCTTGTGGACAGCAACAAAAAAGTTGAAAAATTTAGGACACCTGCTCTAAACAGAAAGGTTGAAAAAAAAATTGGCATATTTAATCTTGAGAAAATATCTGATTACAGTTTTCAGATATGTTAAGAACTGTTTTATAGAGGACAGCGATTAATTGTCTTCCATATCCACTGAATGTAGGACAACAAATAAATAGCTTAATTTTCAGTAAGGGCAATTCAAGTGAGATATTATGGGAAAGTGTTCTAACTTTAAGAATAGTTAACTTCTTCCTATGGAATCCTCACTGGAAGTTTAATAAACCATTGGATAAATACCTGTCAAGGATGGTCTAGGATTATGTGGTTCTGCCTCAGTGCAACTGGCTGCATTTGATGACCACTCAAGGTCCCTTCCAACCATACATTTCTATGATTCTATGATCAGCCATATGAAAACATAGTTTGTGTAAGTCCGGCTGCATAAACTGTACATGTCTGCCAGTGTTTATTTTCCTACAAATATATAAATGCTTCACACTTGTCTGCTCATGTGCAATTGTACATATGTCTCTGTGTGTCTGCATAAACGTGCCGTGAGCATCCGTACGCATGCTGACATATAACTGAACATGCATGTGTGTTCATGTGTGCACATACATACACAAATCTGTAAATATTTAACCATACTTTGTAAAGACAGTGCGAAGTAAAAGTGGTGAAAATTCTTTTTACTTTTTCTTTTTTCACTGTTAATGGACTTGACTATAGAATTTATACACTGAATTAGAAAAACAGAGAGCCACAGCTTTGTCTCTCAGGCAAGACATATCCCCTCGCTCAAGAGAAAGAAGTACATCCAACCTGCAAACCACAGAAGATACGGTTTCTTGCTGGGACAGGTTGCTTAAAGAATTGGAAGCCATTAAAGAGGTTAAACAACATCATCATCATCTAGTTAATGATTACTTGGGGAATCTGTCTGCTGTTCAGTCTTCCATGAAAATTTTATCAACAGAAAAGGAAAACATAAAAACGTACGTACAAAGAACTTTTTTAGCTTACTGGATACAGGCCAGAGTCCAATACCTGTCACAAACATTTACCAGATGTAAATCAACCTAGATGAAGTTATTCTGGTTAGGCAATGAACGAAACCTGAGTGTGGCATTGTATCAATTTAACTGAAATTATGTAAGGATAGAGGGAGAACTGTTTTAGTCCACACTAATAACTTAGTATATTGGTAATAACATTACATTGCATTTACAGCCCTTCAGCAGCAATGGTTATAAAAATGATTATTTCATTTATTACTTTTTGCAGTACTAGCGTCTAGAGATCCCAGCTTTGCTGTGTCACATACTTTACCGACACACATTCATATGCTGCAAATGCACCTTAACTGATAAGCAAAGTGTTACTTTCTGTGGTTAGAATGAAATCTGCCAGTGTGAAGCCAAAGATAACCAATACATTTAAATATTTAGTATGTTTTGCAAATTAGCCTTCAAAGCATGGACATAACCTATAAATCATAATAATGATCCAGTTTAATATGGAAACTTTTTACAATTATTTCTGGAATTTCCTTATATTTAGGTAGTTGAACAGAATTGAATTAATATGTAGGCTATTACAGGGAATTAAGGTGGTATAGGTTGAAACTCTCTTAATCAGGACTCTCTGGTCCAGCAACATCCCTGGTCCAGAAGGACCAAGGATATTCCAGGACCAGAGATTCCCATGGAGGGCTGGTGGCTGGGAGCCCTGCCACAGGGCTGGAGCCCAGTAGTGGCAGCAAAACCCAGAGCCCAGCAGCAGGCCTGCTGCCTGGTGGCGACACAGTGGGATAGGGGGCGGGAGACAGCAGGGCTGCCTGGCATGGCTGGAGTCCAGCAGTGGGGCTGCCGCCCAGCCCTGCAATACCTAGCAGTAGGGCTTGGAAGCCTGGCAGTAGGGCCACTTGGCAGCACAGTCAGGAGCCCACCCAGCGGTCCAGCTGCATAGCAGGACTAGGGGGCAGTGGGGCTGCCCAGCGGAGCTGCCTCATGAGACAGGGAGCCAGCGGGGCTGCCCGGCAAGGCTGAAGTCTAAGTGGGGCTGCCACCAGGCGGCGTAGCTGAACCCCTATAGGGGACCTACCCCGGGGTCTGGGAGCCCAGCAGTGGGGCTGAGCTGAGGGGTCGCTGGCAGGGAGAAGCCGGCTGGGAGGTTGGCCATGGCTGAGCAGGCAGTGGCAGGGGGGCCCAGAAATGACCTTTCTTGGTCTGGCAAAAACCCTTAACTGGGACCGGCGAGGTCCTATGTAGGGATGTAAGCAATTAGTCGTCTACCTGGTAAGCATAAGCCGATGAGTAGTGCCTCGACTCATCGCTTCCTCCCCCCCTTGCTGCTTCTGTCAGAGAGATGCAGCAAATGGGGGAAGCAGGAGCCACTGCTGCTGGGAGCGGGTTTAAAGACCGGTTTCCTCCACCACCGTCTTCATGGGGAAGGCATAGTGGGGGTACTAGTGTGAGCCAGGAATCAGCTCGCTCCCGGCTCACACCCTGTCCCCCCTGCTGCACCTCTGCCTTTTAAATATATTAAGAGCCTAGTGGCTCTTAATAAATTTAAAAAGCAGAGGCGCAGCATCTGGCATGGGGTGCGAGCTGGGATAGCCGATTCCTAGCTTGCGCCTCGTCCCAGATGCTGCACTTCTGCTTTTTAAATGTAATAAGAGCTGCCAGGCTCTTAATATATTTAAAAGGCAGAGGTGCAGCAGGGTTCACTCCTCCCGCTACAGCTCTGTGTTTTCTCCCCTTATTGATTAATCGAGTAGTCAATAGAAATTCCATCGACTACTCGATTAGCTGATTAAACGCAGTTTAACATCCCTACTCCTCAGGGTGCTGGACCAGGGAGGTCCAATCTGTATTTTCAGAAGCAGCTTTAGGAACAAATGTCTTATTGATTAAATGAAATTGATTGATTTAATCTCCATAAATGGGAATCTCATAATTGGTTCTAAACTTTTTACCTTCACACTTACATTGGAAATTACTATAAAACATTATTATTTCTCCCACAATAGATTTAACTTTGTTACTGAAGTTTACTTTTGTTTAACTTTAAAAGTGGGCTGCAAGATAACTCTTTTAATGAACTGCACACATCAGTTAGTACATGTTATTCCTATGCAATTTTTACATTAGAACTTACTGCTATTGCAGTGACTCAAAAGGATAGACAGCTCTCCCTGGGATTATGTAGGAATACCTGTATACTGTAAAAAGTATAAAATGACCAGGTTAAGAAAATTTTAAATAATGCGAACTTATATTGATTATTCTTGTAAGTGAATAATTGTCTGGTTGGTGGGTATACAACAATATTGTCACTTAAAAATGCCTCTAATTCTTCTAATTCTGGAACATTGTTTCAAATCTTGATAATTATGTTGGCAGGGGCCCTGTGAACCACATAGTCCTGGAGAAAATTAAAAAAATTATGGATTCAATACAGAAGGAGAGAGATGTTTTAAACAAGCTGAAAACTGAACAAGATAATTTATCTGGGCATCTGACATGCATAGATAAGGAATTAACAGAAAACCAAGTGAAGCAACTGGAGCGATGGTGGGAACACATAGAGCAATCAGTGCAAAAGAAACATTATCAAGTTGTGTCAGAAATTGATGAATTTAACCTTCTCATGAATAAAGCACAGGACCTTCAAAAGTTGATACAACACCAGCAACGTTTACAGGCTGAGTTGAATCCTGAAGATGGACAAAAAAACAAATGTCCATTACTTTGGACCTCAGAGCTACAGGCCATTAAATACAGTGTTTCTCTGTTAAAAGGAAGCACTGAGCTACAGATGAAAAGGATTTGGAGTGAGGAAGAAAAGAAAACTTTGGAAAATTCAATACATGATTTGCAGAATCAGTTGGAAGTACTGGCGCACCAAATTCCTCAGGAGGATGTTTGGATCCTTGTCTCTGATCCCAAGAAATACGAAATCACAAGAAGGATAAAAGACAATATTTCATGGGTCAAAGATTCATTGTTTTCTCTTGATCAGAAGGCAGCACTTTTCCCAGATGATATTACAATACAGATCAGAAATTGCAAGGCTGTGAACAGTGAAGCTCTAGATAAAGAAACTACTCTCGAGTTACTGGCTGATGAGACCCAGTCTATCATTTCTGATTTGAATCCAGAGGAAGTTACTTACCTGAGTTCCCTTTTACAAGAATTGCAGAAGTCATACCAGGCATTTGTTTTAAAATCAGCTCAAAGATTACAACAGCTAGAATTCCAACTGGAAAAGAGGCAGCGACTTATTGCAGAAATACAAAGAGTTCACAGCCAGCTTCAGAACGCTGAGACACTGACTATTCCTGACATAAATGAAACAAGCACAGGGTCTGAACTAGGAAATCTATATGGCATTTTAAAGGACCTTTCAAAGGAAATACAGGAGAGTGAAGATCTCATCTCATCACGTCTCCAAGAGAGTCAACACTCACATGGGGAGCTAAACATATTCGAACAATTATTTCTAACTGACCAGTTAAGATGCCTTAAGAATAGAGCTAGGAAAATACAAAGGTTAATCCAGAATAAATGCCATGCAGTGGAAAAAAAGGTAGCCATTTACACAGAGCTCTCTGAAAGGATAACTTCATTGAATCAGGAGCTTAATGATCTATGGTGTGATATACTGAAACTGGAGGGAGAGGAAATATTAAGTGTAAAAGAGGAAGTTAAGGATAAACTCAATGTCCTTCAAAAAAGAATTTTTGATGTTCAATCTAGTTTGTTACAAATAATGAAATACAAGGAAATATTTGACTGTCTAAGGCTAAATTGGGACACTTCACACCTTGATGAATTACAAACTCAATTTCTTGAAATTAAAAATAAACTTGAAGAGAAGATTAAATGCTTTGACAACTGTGTTATAGAATCTGTCAGGCACCAAGCATTACTCAGTGAAATCCAGACCATGATATCGAATATAAAGCATGAAGCCGACATGCTAACAAATAGCCCTGGCTCTTCCTCGGAAACCAATTTTGTATCAGCACAGATTTTGTGCCAGAGAGTTCAACAAGTCAGGCACTTAATCCAGGAGGCAGCAAATCAATTAAATCTAAATGAAGTCTTTGCTATATCACTGAAAAAAGCTAAGGCACAGCAAATCAAGAGCCTGGAGGAAGATATTGACGGTTTGCATCAATTTCTCCAAGATATTATATTGGATCTTCAGGCAGAGTATGCAAATAAACAAGATTTCCAGAGCACACTGGAACACACATTGCATACCATAAAGCAAATTAAATCTGAGTTTCAGCAGCCACTAGTGGTAGACTTGGAAATGAAAATAATTCAGTCTGAAAAAATGCATTGTGAAGCAATTCAGGACTGGGTGCAAACAGAATTTTGTGCCATTGTAGATCTAATGGGTAAAGAGAGAGAAAAGCAAGAACCACCATCTTGTCTTATTGCTGACGTAGAAGCAAAATTAGATGAACTGGAAAATCTTCAAATACAGCTGAAGACAGATATTGCTTCCCGTCTAGTAAGTATATTTCGTAAGCATAAATAAGACTGTACATCAGCCTCATTAGCACCAGCACTACAAATTGACAGGTTCTTTCCCCTCCTTTCCCATCTTTTTCTGTTATAATTCTGTGAGTCCCTCCTTTTTTTCTCCACTCAAGCTCATCTGAAGAAGTGGGTTTTGCCCACAAAAGCTCACGATACTATATATATTCTTATTAACCTCTAAGGTGCCACAGTACTACTCAGTGTACATCCTTCTGAAAGTCTTGATAAGCTGTCCCCGAGTGTCTGCCACAGTGTTAATGAAACCCACACACCTGGGTGTGGTGTCCCGTCCCATCTAGTGGCACTGAGTCTGCTTACAGAGACTTTAATGAGTCTGCTCTACAGCCTTAGCTAAGAGGCAGCTGGCTTTTAGTTCATGCAATAGAGGCTCATACACTAAGCTCCAGGGGTCCCAGATTCAATTCCACCTGTCAGCGCTACATTAATGTGTTCAAGACTTGTAGATACTCATTTAAGGCAAGTAACTGAATTAGCGCGAACCTGTCATAGCCATCTCAGGAGTATTAGGATTTTTGGTTGCTTTTTAGATCCGTGATGCCAATGAATGAAGACATTATTTGTGTTAAACTTATTATAATCAAACAGTGCCAGAGTCTTTGGTCTGCTGCTCTTCTTTTGCATCACTCCAGAGGCACACAGGGAGCAGAAAGTTGCCCTATCTGCCCTGCTTGTAATTTCCCTGGCTTGGGGGACTCTCTGGTGTGTGGAGGAGATTGGAAGAGGTCATAGAAAAGTGCAGTCTTGCAGTGTATGCATACGCATGTGGCTTTTCCTTTGATTTATGGATATTCCTAAGGGCATATGAACTGGTATTCTCACCTTCCCAAGTCTGTATGAGGGTCTTAGGGCTTCCATCTACTCTTTAGTCATGAATGCAGTTTCCATTCCCTCCTACCTCCTGTCCCCAGTACTTTGGCAACAGCTGAAATTTTAGCACATACCCTGGAGCTGTGAGTATGACCAGTCATTCTAGGATTTCCACACTCTGCTATGATTAGCTTGTGCAGAAGTGTAGTGCACTTTCCATGCTACCTGACTGTTCCATGTACGTCTACACTGGGATAAAAAACCTGTAGCCTCCCCACAGCTGGCCCACATCAGCTGACTTGGGCTCATGGGGGCTAAAAATTGCTGTGTAGATGTTTAGCCTCAGGCTGGAGTACAAGCTCTAATGCCTTCCATCTTCTCAGAGTCCCGGAGCTTGAGGCTCCATCCCATGCCTGAATGTCTGTATGGCTATTTTTAGCCCTGGAGCCTGAGCCCTGTGAGTCCAAGTCAGCTGGCCCAGGCCAGTTGTGGGATTTTTTTTTTTTAATCCTCGTGTAGGCATACCCCAGTGGTGTCTGGGAGCATCACTTGCTAGCCCAGCTCATGTCACTTCTCAAAATGGTCATTTTGCAAGCCATTGTATCCTGCAGCTTTTCTTGGTTGACCTTTTTGTCTTCTGAATGCTTTCAGAATGCCCTTGATGAAGCTCAAGAGAAGGTCAAGCTGTATACCGAAGCTGTTCAGAGGGCTTCCGATCTCCTGACTGAATATGAAGCCAGAATTCTCTCAGCAAAAGTCGGCCTTGGTAGCCTACAAGAGTCCTGTCAAATCCCACATTGGAAACTAGAAGAATTTGAGTCTGCCAAGGCGGACATAGAGGATCTGTCTGCCAAATTGGAAAACGTCATTACACCTAGAGCCAAACAACAACTGAAACAAACTTTAAGTGAACTAGTCACTAAGAATTCAGTATTAAGGGAGAAGGCCCAAAGAAGGAGGGCTGATGTGCAGAGGTAGGTTCAAGTGATGTAGGTAGGCAATGTTCCATGATACAAGGAAGATGATAGACAGTAAATGAGGGGAAGTTTTGTTTCTAATGTGATGGATTCTTTATAGTTCAGTAAAAATTGCAGATACATGGTGTTCCCAGATGCTTTGCTAATGTGTGACAATTATCCTAGAATAGGCATATTTAAATTAATTTATAAAGCATTTGCTTTGAATATATTCACACAAGTGTACCAGTCAGCACTCAGTCTGGTGCAGGGATCAAAAAAAGAGAGAGAGCACCTCTAAGATCTCTGGCTTTGCCTCCTGGTACAGAAGGTATCTTAAGATGCCCCTTCTGCAGGCCATTCTAGATGGAGATAATTAAGGCAAAATCAGAACCCAGATCAGAATGTCTTCTGCTCCCAGCTCTCAGATATGTGCATTGAAAACTCATTTTCTCTTTTTTTTTCTTTTTTTTTAATTTGCTCTTTGCTTGAGATCTAATGTCTTTGATTATGTCAACAATAATATGAAAACCTACTGTAGAAACAGGAATTGTTAAATTCTCCTTCTTTTGGGCTGCTTCCTGGCTGAGCACCAGGAGAGCACAAAAGTCTTCAGGTCCTACATACACAATTGGTGTGTGTGTGTTCATATAAACTATATTTTGGCAAGATAGTGGTAGATAAAATAAAATAAAAAAACAAATCTGGAGGCCATTATACATCTCAGTTTTTAAGGTTTCTCTGATATCAAATCTAAAATATTTGGCAGATATTACTTTAGAAGATATACTTTTCAGATCTGTTTGTTACGTGTATGGTTACATCATGCATTAAGACTGAGGAAAGGAAGATCTATGGTAAAATTTGAGTGGTTTGCTAATTCTTTTTCATAGGTACTTTGAAAAATACAGCAACTACTCAAAAATCAAAGAGAAGATATGTGCTAATCTCAACAAAATGGAAAAGATCCTTGGACAATCATTATCCTCAACTCCAAGGTCTTATAAGGAAGCACTTGAGCACTTGGAGCAAAGTAAGGTAAGCATGGCTCTGAAGTTGATTAAATGGTGATCCAAACAGATTCATTAGCTCTTGAACCAAAAGAGTAGACGGAGGTAGAGTTAGTAGGCCTATTCTTTCCGGTAGTTAAGTTTAAACCGGTCATGGTGTTTTTGAAATCAACGTTATCTGTATTTCAGATAATTTTGTAACCATGCAAATGTATTATTTTCAGCCCAATTTCCTCCAGGCTGCTTGGTTGGGACCTAGACCTAGAAAATTCTTGACCCTGTTTTTTCCTTGGAATAGGAGGAGAGGGAGAGAGATCACTTCTTTTTCCCTTCAGCCTGCTTAAGACCCTTCCTCTGCCTCCTGTTCATCCCTGTGTTAAAGAACAACTAACTTAACGCTTTTCCTGCCTTACTGTTGTGTTGTACACCATAGCTCAGGCTTTTTATATTGTATGCCTGTAATTCTTCTGTAATAACGCCTGTCAAAAACTCAACCCCTCAAGACTCTCCATCCCTAGTGAAGGGCATTTCCCATCAGGAACAACAAAACAAAGATTCTACCCCCTCACAAAAAAAGAGGAGACTGTTCAAAAAGTCAATATAAGGAAACTTCTTAAACCCTGGAGGAGGAGGGACGCGAGAGAGAAATCCTAGCACCATGAAGACCAGTGGAAGTTTTGACATTCACTCAAGACTGTTATCTTTCTTTTTGTGAGCTTTCCTAAAACTTCTACAAACATTTTATTCAAAATGAGATGTGATATGACATTTCAGGGGCATTGGTTTCCTGTTGTGAGAGTTAAAGAAGTTGAAGGTCAGGTTTATAAAGGTCAACCTTAGCTAAGTAGCTATCGCCATGTCATTATGAGGATGAAGTGAAAAATAATTAGGCTGGTGATCTGTCGTAGATATTGAATAAGCAAATATTGTTTTCATTGGTAAATGTGGCATCTGTCTTACATTATCCAATATAAAATTGGCCCATGAGTAGATAGGCACCCAGAGTACCTGTTGTTTAACCCACAGTACTAATCACGTAAGGAACTGTTTTATTATTTATCCTGATATGCAATACTGTTCTGGTTGTTACTTTTCTCAAGGTTTTGGTGTCTCAAATTCTTTCGGCTGAAGAGGATCTCATGACGTTGAGACGGGATTCAAGAGATCTGAGCATGATGTGCAAAGGTGATGGCATGCTTGTCCAGTTTGTGTCCACACTGTGGGGCAAGTGGCTTGGTTTGCTCGAGGCTGCAAAAGAATGGGAGATGAACTGTGAGGACCAAAAACAGGAATGGAAATTTGTCAATGAAGAGGTGAGTGGCTTAACAGATTGTTTTCAAAACATTTTACAAACATAACAAAATAGGATGCTTAAAGAAGATTATGGGACCAAATATTCAGGCGGTGAAAATCAGTATAGCTCACCTGAAGTCAATGGAGGATAGGTCTGTTTACACTTGCTGACTAGCCCATTATTTAAAACCTTTTCTTAATGTAAGTACTGGAGATATTTATAGACGGAACTGAATTCAGTGGGCTACTCATTGGGTTTGAACGATGCCTGTGCTTATATCTTTTGTTGGATCAGAACTAAAATGCTCAGCACCCTGCATAATGAAGTACTGAGCTCTCAGTGCACACACTGAGTTCCCATTGCTGTTAGTGCGAGTTCCATGTGCTTGTCAAGGACTTAATATAGTTTGAAATGCTAAAGGAATCCTACTTTATCTTATACTTGTATTGTTGATTTAGGTGGAACGGCAGTCAATAATTCTAGATAATCTTCAGGAAGAACTACCAGAAAGTCTTAAAGAGAAAGAGAAGGCCTCCACAAATGCACTTTTAGAATTGCTAGACTGTGTGGACTGTTACAAGGAAAATATGGACAGAGAGCAGCTGTTACTGCTTTTACTACTACATCGTATAAGAAGCATCCTGAATGTGCCTGAAAGCACAGAGAGAGAAACATCGGTTCCTATTCGATACGAGATACATGCCATGCAAGATCGATGTAGAAAGTAAGTGCAAGAAACGACACTTCAGAAACATTGGATGCAGAACTAATTAATAGCAGAATGTTTTAAGAAACTCACCTGCATTGTCTTCATACTTAGAGAACATTTAAAAAAGTTTAATGGATTTTAGATGTGAGCTAAAATGATGTGAAATGTGAAATCTTGAATTGTAAAGAGGTACTGAGGACTTGCAGCTCCCCATTCATTGGAAAGGATGTTGCAGATGTTCCGCACCTGTGAAAATCAGGTCCTGTGTGTGTATTTGTGTACATTTTTTTTTACCTTTATCACTTTATTGCTGCCTTGTTTACCAGATTTTCATAGGGTCTCAACCTAGTTATCCAACTTGTGAGCAAAATTGTACACTTATATTTCTTCATGCTTGCTCTTTGGCATCTAAATTTTTATGTGCTCACTGTTCAAGGCCTGTTTTCACACCTTAGCTGTAAGTATGCAAGTTCCATGTCAAGGCTACACTGGATGGTTAGATGGCTGACCTGCCTAGTTTGCATCACTAAACATACTAATTAACATTTATCTGAAGATTCATGTGTAAACAAATGTTTATACTGAAATCAAGTGTAGAGTCTTACGTATCAAAAAGTAAGCATGCCAAAATAGAACAGTGCAGGCACAGATTTGGTTCTAAATGTATATTTTTAAGTATCAGTATTTAATTTTGTAAAATATATGTTGGAGTATTTCACTTTCCAATGAATAGTGAGACTAATATTTAACGTATTCCTATTGCAAATCTCTTTTCTTTAGGCTATCTCAAAAGGCTCAAAAACACAAAAATTCTATACAGTCTGAGATTCAGGAAAGAGACAAGATTAATGAAGAAATAAACTCTGTGAGGATGTCATTACAAAATACCTCATTTTTGTTGTGTGATGGAGAGTCACAAGACTCTACTGAAAAGGCAGCACAACTGGAGGTGAGTGGAAGACTGTCACATGGAATGTAACAGTTCTGAGTTCAAGATACCAAATTTGACAGAGGGGAAATCAGTACTAGGAATACTAAAATGTGTATATGTAGGTAAACGTATAAACGTGTTCAGTGGTTACATGCGGGGGGATGGTCCTCCCTCCTGCACTGCTGCCTCTGAACCAGTTCCCCACATATACCAGTTCACATCTGTCCCCCACACCTCATGCTGCTGCCTCTGATACAGTGGCAGCAGCACGAGGCGGGGGGAGGGAAGACCTGCATGTAACTCTGCATGTTAACTGACAGATGACTAAATAACATAACCTTGGTATTTGCAGTGTTTCTGCTAATGAGAGTACTGAAAAAATTACTCAAATTCTCCTAAGAGATACCCTATGGTAGATATCTTCAATAATCTTTTTCTTATATTTAATACTAGCAGAAATACCCAGTGTCACCAGGGGAAAATATAGTAAAAGGTATGATGAATGAACTACGTCAATTACATTAACATAGAATATTTTATTGGAAATACTTTTCTCTTAGGGTATGGATGTGTTTACAAAACGACAGATCCCATAGAGTCTCTTTTCTCAATCCCCACAAATCAGGAAGACCCATCTTCCCTTAAAAACTTTATGCAAACCAATGCCTGCAGCCTCCTTGCCAGAAGTCCTGAGAAATAGAGGGGATGTCTCCTGGGCTCTGCAGCAGCAGCAAATCACTGCTCCCAAAGTAACCACTCCCTGAATGCCTTCAGTGCACGCTCCATGGGGCAACCTGAATGGACTTCCTAGCGGCAGTTGGACCAGTTGTATTGATCAGACAAAGTGAAACACCTTCAGACCAGGTGCAATGAGTGATATCTAGATGATCAGAACATGCAGCACCTGAACGTACCTGTTCTAATGAGAATAGACTGTTCTGAGTGTACCGTGTCCTCCTCAGGCTCCACGGTGCTCTAAACCGTGTCCTCCTGCCCACCTAGTCTTTGTACTGTGAGATGAACCCTGCAAAGTGCATAATGCTCACTTGCTGATAACGCACACAGCCCTTCCAGGAGAACGCACGCAGCCCAAAGGAGAGCAAGTGGTGGGAGGGCTCATTTGGATGTAGGGAGAGGGAAGCAACTTTAATTTCCAGAAGGGGTTCAGTCAGAGCCTGGCTGTGTGAAGATGTTGAGAGGCTGTGATAGCTGGGGTTTCCCCCCAGCCACAATTAGCAAGGCTAGACCCTAGCCAGCATCAGCCACATTTGGGTCTGTCCTGGAGACCTGCTGGTGCCCTAGTATAGGGGAGGTTGCTGATTTTCTGCACCACTGCAGTGTCTCCCCCATGGGCTTTCCCTTGATGGTGCTGCAGGGGCCCACATGCTTTATCCTCTAGGATCTCGTAGTAGCAGTTTATGTGACATGCTTAACAGAAGAGTCCAGCAAATGCCTATGATCAGGTGCTACGAAAAGCTAATTATCAGTGGGCCCAATTGGGGCTCTGGGGGAACTGATTTCGAGATATAACCAATGCAGTTATTGAAGTTACGAAATCAGTAGCATCCATTCAAAATGTGGTATTTCTAGCTCTTACAGTTTCGGAGAGCCTTCGGAATGATCAGTGGGCCCAATTGGGGCTCTGGAAGAATCGGGGGAACCGCTTTTGAGATATAACCAATCCAGTTATCTAAGTTAGAAAATCAGTAATATTCGTGCAAAATTTCATGTTTCTAGCTCTTACCGTTTCGGAGATCTTTTGGGACTAACTAACTAACTTAACTAACTAACTTTCGGAAATATTTATAAGATAAGAAACACGGTGGCTAGTGCAGTTATGTTTCTTAATCCTGTCTCAGTGCAGGGGGAAGAACTTCCAGATCTATGTTTCTATGAATCTGTTCTGTGAAATGCTGAGAGAGATAAATTAGTGACAATGCTTTATTATCTAAGGCAGTTGGCGAGTTTTTAATTAGCACTCATATAGGATATAAAGATGTAGATAGTGAGGGAACATTATGTAGCCCCTTGGGGAAGGAATCATCTTCTTATTCCTTTTGTACAGTACCTTGCACAATGGAGCCCTGATCCACGACTAGGGCCCATAGGCACTAGAATAATACAAACAATAATAATCATAACTGTATTATAAATCTTGAGCACAAAATTGGGAAGCTTTTAAATACCACCATTTTATAGCTAAAAATATAAATACACTGTGTGTTTATATTGCTATACTGATATGAAAGTCCATTTTACAAAGAGATATTTTCTGTTTATGGCAGATAAGAGAGTTGTTTATTTCAGAAACCTGTCATTTGGGGAGCCCCAAAATGCTGGTATAATCTTGATTGTGGCACGGTTACAGTAAGCTTCTATGTGGTATATTGTACATAAGTTTTGTGTCCTTTTTAGTTGGATCCAGTTGTCACAGCACATTGGGAAAGAAAACTTTATTTCGTCCACTGATAGTCTTTCTGTGCAGTATACTTTGGGTGTAGAACAAGCTTCCCAAATGAAGGTTAGGATTTAAAGGAGAATGGTGCAATCAAACTTAAAAAAAATAATTACCCATAGTCTGAGTCAAAATTTCTCACTGCATAATATGAATTTATTACTTTGCCTAATAACTACATTTGATGCCACATAAAAATGGTGGAGACTTGGGGAAAGTAACTGTAAAAACAAGAGATTTTGCAGCTTCAAATTTTAGAAAGCCTAACAAACAAGTTTCTTCTTCGTTCTATGAGAGGACTTAGTTCACATTTTGTTTCTAGGCCACAGGCTGCAGACATTTGTTCAGGTTTCTTTTGTCTCGCAAAACCTACATTCTTCTTACAGAACTGGAACCTACTGTTTTGAAAGGAGCTGTGCGGTGCAGTTCTACTTAATCACTTGAAAGCAGACACTTCAGTTTCAAGACTGTTGCTGTTAGCAGTCTTTGTGTTGTAGTTGTCGCAATAATGTAGTTGTTAAAATAATGTTAAACTTTAAAAACTTATTTGAAAGTAAACATCCAGGATTTGTAATAGGAATGTCATAAAGCTGAACATTAAATCATAGACACATGTGAACATTCTGACCATATGTTATTTCTGTCAATAAGTATTACTATCTTACAATAGTTTGACATGAAGTGGTATCAAGTTTAATTAATTCTTACTGATTGAAAAGCATCATTTGTCTAAACTAGTGAAAATATCTCAGGTTTAATCTGCTTGCATAGGCTGTCAAGTGAGGTTTTGTAATTTGAAAACACCTTATTTAAATCATAATCATGGTAGACGACTCAACTAGTTCCTACTGACTTTAAGTTTTTAGTGTTTTATAAGTTCTGAAACTGCTCTTTAAATGTTTTAGGAGGTTCAGAGAATAATTAACAGAGAGAATCAAACTATTAAGGATATTATGGAGAAACTACGAATCAAGTATTCAGACATGTATACGATAGTTCCTGCAGATATTGAAACACAGTTGCAAGGCTGCAAGAAAACATTACAAGACCTAGAAGAGAAGGTAACAATTTATGGGATTCACATTTTTATTTATTTAGAATGTTTGTATATCACATTATTGCTATTAACTACAAGTGTCAGTTAAAATGGTATTTGGTTTAAATGCTAATTTTACTTTCATTCCACATTTAGTAGACATGTATCAACTGCAGATAATTGCATGTGCTATTTCTCTATCCTTTTAAAATATTATAGCAATTTACAAATTAAGGTATAAAATTATGTTAATTAAACTACAAGAAGAAATGGCAGATTCAGTAAGGATAAGAAAGCATATATATTATTTTATACTTTCCCTTCAATCACATTCTTACATTTGACCCAAAATGGTTTTTATCTTCTGTTTCCCTGTAAGTGTGAAGTCTCATCACATCATCAGGCACAGCTGGGTGAGATGAGATGCTCAAAACATATTTCTGTGTTCTGTAGGCATTTCATTTCAAATCCATCTAGAAGTTCAACAAATATATTTTTAAACAGAGCTGCACCCACAGGCCTGCTGACTGGTGTGGGAGGGAAAGCAAAGGGCTCAATTGCCCCAGTATTCAGCCACTCAAAAGGGCCCGAATCTTCTGGCTGCTGCCTCTGCTACTGTGGCAACTGAGCTCTTTAAATTGCTGCCAGAGACACACACGGTGCATTCCTGAGGGCTGGGGGCGGGAGGTGCACTGTGGTTCGGGAGGTGCTGAGGGCTGGCTGTCCTGGCCCTACTCCTTGAAAGCAAAGGGCTCAATTGCCCCAGTATTCAGCCACTCAAAAGGGCCCGAATCTTCTGGCTGCTGCCTCTGCTACTGTGGCAACTGAGCTCTTTAAATTGCTGCCAGAGACACACACGGTGCATTCCTGAGGGCTGGGGGCGGGAGGTGCACTGTGGTTCGGGAGGTGCTGAGGGCTGGCTGTCCTGGCCCTACTCCTTCCGCCCCCGGTGAGGCTGTCGGCTCTCCTATGCATACAAAGTAGAGCAGGGCTACTCAACATGCGGCTCATGGGCCCCATGCGGCCCGTGGTCCGGTTTGGGTTTACACGGGGCTCAACACGTGGCCTGTGGGTGGGATTCTTTGAACATGGCCTCCACTGGGAACATGCTCCATAACGGCGAGGTATCTCCCGAGCAGGGTGAGCATTGAAAGATGCAAGCTGGAACAGATGGGTACAGGGTGTCGGCGTTTCTAGCCCCCAGGGTGGAGGTGCTGGGAGCACCAGGGCATTGTGGGAAGTGCTGGCTGCTTAATCCTGCGGGCAGAGCCTGAGAGGTGCTGATTGGCCACATTTGGGTCTAATGCCACAGCTTACAGCGTAATCTTTGTATTCATGCACATCAGTGTGAAAGAAGCTGTTTACATATATTTGCATATATATGCAACCACACTTAAGTTTTCTACCCTTGGCATGTCCTATGAGGTTCATTGTGGCCCTTGGGGCTTCCAAAGTTGAGTAGTCCTGTAGTAATAGAATCTTATTTGTCTCAGCTCCTAGTGCACAGTGTTGCCCTTAAAAATCTTGCTAGTTAGTTTAGATAATGAACAGTGTCTAACTTAAATAAATAACTTTGTCTCAATGCTTTCAGTGTTCCCCAGTTATGAGTACTCACGTAGGATGTGTCTATACTGCACCATTATTTTGAGATAACTAGCGTTATTCCAAGATAACTATGCGAGCATCTACACAGCCATTCCGTTACTTTGAAATAATTTCAAAATAATGACGGATTATTCCAAAATCTGTAAACCTCATTCTATGAGGAATAATGCCTATTCCAAAATAGCTATTTCAAAATAAGGCGTGTGTAGACACTCCACTGCTGCTATTTCGAAATAGCCCCTCACCAGGGCCATTCTAAGTTATTCCTCCCCAATACCTCTTGGGGCTCTAAATCGAGATAGCACATCTACATTAGGGAAGCCTGCCTCGGACTAATTTTGAAGTTTCCCTGCAGTGTAGATGTGCTATTTCGAAATAAACTGTTTTGGAATAACTATTCCAGAATAGCTTATTTTGAAATAAGCGTGCAGGATAGACGCACCCATACAGAATAAATTCAATATCATTTGTTCATACAGCCTGGAGAGGATAGCTTAGTTTTGATTGTTCAGTAAGGAGGTGGAGTGGGTCTTTTCCCTAAAATAAGTTGTGTTTCTTTCATTACTGGGCAGAACAGAAACCAGCAGAAGCAACCCGGTACTCCACGTTGCAGTATATTTTGCTGATTTATATTTAATGCTGTGTTTCACCAGTCATTTAGTGGAATGAAACTAGTGAATGACCCATGAACTCTAGAGCATATTAATGTTGCTTCCTTCAGTAAATCTAATTCTGCTCTTAAGTGACTTGTCAAGGAAATAATACAAAGAATTCAAACTTTTTGTGAGACATTATGAATAAAGAAACAGACCTTTGTTAGATGGATTTCCCTTTACTATGACAGGTTACCACCAGAATCTTCCAGAACTCTCCTCATTATGTGATAAATAAAAAAGTAGAGAATATTAACAATGGCCTGCAAGCTGTTGAAAAGATGTTACAACAGAAGAGTGAAAACATTGCAAAAGCCAAGGAAATTCAAAAGGTAATGTCTCAAAATTCCCTTTCCTGTCTGAAGTCCAAGGGTCCACTTATTGAATAGGATTTAGGATTGAATATGGCTCGCAAGCCAAATATGACTCACTAGGGAGTCAGATATGGCTCTTCTGGAGCCCTAACTCAGTCCCCTCATCTTCCTCCGCAACTGAGAGCCAAATTATTCTGTGGGTCACTGGCCCCCAACCTAAAAAGGTTCCCAATTCCTGCCATGAATAAAGACATCTTTGAAACCTTTTGTGTTGGACATAATGTTTTATTTTATTTAAAAATGAAGCCTGGCCAACAAGCTCCCAATTGGGGTCCAGGCCCCATCTCGCCGCAGCGTCATAACACTCCTGCACCCCCTACACACCAATCTTGAGCCGATCATACGCCTGAACCCCACATCCCCAAACTCATGCATCCCCGCATCCCCAGTCCCCTGCCATAACACTTCTGCGCGTGCACGCGCACACACACACACACACACACCAACCAACCTTAGAACACTAGAACTGGAAAGGACCTCAAGAGAACATCAAGTCCAGTCCCCTGCCCTCACGACAAGACCCAGTACCATCTAGATCATCCCTGATTGCTGTCTATCCAACGGGCTCTTAAATATCTCCAGTGATGGAGATTTCACAAGCTCCCTAGGCAATTTATTCCAGGGTTTAACCACCCTGACACTTAGGAAGTTTTTCCTAACGTCCAACCTAAACATCCCCTGCTGCAGTTTAAGCCCATTGCTGCTTGTCCTATTATCAGAGGCTAAGGAGAACAATTTTTCTCCCTCCTCCTTGTGACACCCTTTTAGATATCGGTACTTGAAAACAACTATTATATCCCCTTTCAGTCTTCTCTTTTCTAAACTCTAAACAAGCCCAATTCTTTCAGTCTTCTCTCATATGTCATGTTTTCTATGCCTTCAGTCACTGTTGTTGATCTTCTCTGAACCCTCTCCAGTTTTTCCATATCTTTCTTTAAATGTGGTGTCCAGAACTGGACACAATACTCCAACTGAGGCCTAATCAGTGTAGAGTAGAGTAGAAGAATGACTTCTCGTGTCTTGCTCACAACACTCCTGTTAATGCATCCCAGAATCATGTTTGCTTTTTTGGAACAGTGTCACACTGCTGACTCATATTTAGCTTGTGGTCCACTATGACCCCTAGATCCCTTTCTGCAGTACTCTTCCTTAGATGATCACTTCCCATTCTGTATGTGTGAAACTGATTGTTCCTTCCTAAGTGGAGTGCTTTCCATTTGTCCTTATTAAACTTCATCCTATTTACCACAGACCCTTTCTCTAGTTTGTCCAGATAATTTTGAATTATTACCCTATCCTCCAAAACTCTTGCAACCCCTTCCAGCTTGGTATCATCTGTAAACTTATTAATGGTACTCTCTATGCCAATATTTAAATCATTAATGATAATGATATTAAAAAGAACTGGTTCCAAAACAGACCCATGTGGAACCCCACTTGTTATGCCCTTCCAGCATGACTGTGAACCGTTACTAACTACACTCTGAGAATGGTTATCCAGCCAGTTATGCATGCACCTTATAGTAGCCCCATCTAGGTTGTATTTCCCTAGTTTATTGATAAGAAGATCATGCGAGACCATCTCTAAAGCTTTACTAAAGTCTACGTATACCACGTCCACCGCTTCTCCCTTATCCACAAGATTTGTTACGCTATCAAAGAAGGCTATCAGATTAGTTTGACATGATTTGTTCCCTATCACCTTATTATCTCCCAGTTGTTTTCAGATGAATTCCTTAATTACTTGCTCTGTTATCTTCCCTGGCACAGAAGTTAAACTGACTGGTCTGTAGTTTCCTGGGTTGTTCTTATTTCCCTTTATATAGATGGGCACTGTATTTGCCCTTTTCCAGTTCTTGTGCCCCGAGTCCATCATACACCAAAATCCCCTGCTTTGAGCCCCTCATACGCCCCAACACAGATTCCTGCACCCTCACATCTCTGCTCCCTGCCATAAGATTGACAGAAGACTGCCTGAATGCATGCATGAAGCTGGGTTTGACCAGTTATGATGTAAATTTCAAAGAAATCTGTGAAAAGATGCAGCAGCAGAAGTCCCATTAAATAAAGTCTGTGACTAAGTTTCATTTATGCTATTATTAATCATGTCAGTAATAAATAATGTTAAGTTTCAGGCATGCATATGGGCATTCACATTCAGCTCTTTGTTGACCACATGTTCTGAATTTGTATGTAGTTTGACTCTTTGGTTTGAGAAGGTTGCCAAGCCCCAATCTAATTGATGAATACTTTCAAAACTCTTTGTCTCACAGCAAAAGATTTTTTCTCATCTGTCTTGGGCATGAGTGACCCAGAGTTGATACAAAATGTTCTGTGGGGCTCATGAACCTTTACAAATTGAAAACTTACATGGCCCAGACAGGAAACTAGATAGCTATGCTGTCACCATTAAATCTGACCATAACTTTCTGTTTGCCGTTTCCCTCATGCAGGCAATTTGGGATATGCTAGACCTTTGGCATTACAAACTGAATGAACTGGACTCAGAAGTACAAGATATAGCAGAGCAGGATCCATGTCACTCACAGGAATGGATGGATAGCTTAATGATTCCTTTGCAGCAGTACCAGCTGGTCTCGCAACGCGCTGAGCTGAGAACCACACTCTTAAACAAGGTAAAGGGAAAGCAACCAGTGTCTTGGCTTGAAAAAGGATCAGACATTAAAAAAGAGACTATGGAGAACATTTCTGAAGTGCCTACGTGGCATAGGAGCCTGTGTCACTGAAGTTTCAGTAGGACTAAAGCTTCTTAGGGCCAGATCCTCAATGGTATGTAAGTGCCTAACTCCCATTGCTTTCCGTGCAAGTTAAATGTCTACGTATTTTTGAAGCTCTGGGCCAAAGTGCCTAAGCCCAGTGTTCCCTCTAATTTTTTCCATCCACGAGCAGAGTCAGTTTTGATATGTGCACCAGTATTGAGGTTATGTGCACTTGTGCAGACGTGAACCCATGCAGCACCCTCCAGTTACTAACAAAATTCCTAGCTTTGTATATATTACACATGTTTGTGTAATGGGAGAAGAAAGAATACTAAAACACGGCATAATTAACAAGGTGCATGATTTCAAATGTTTATTTAATATGAAATCAAATAGTAAGAAAATTAATACTGAAAAATTTTGAGTAGCCATTTGGTATCTTATTAAAAAGTCACTTAACGAAAACAGGAATTAAGTTTCTAAATTACTCAAGTGCTCTTGAAAATTTTATCCTGATTCTTTATTTCATAGCAAGGTTCTGTAAATTTTTCCCCTTAAATGTAGAGAATATAATTATTAAGTCATTCAGGTAAAAAGGCCAAACTCTGTGGATGTAAGTCTTTATAAGCTCAGTGGGTCCCAGGAAACAATTAGGATAGATTAGGGATTTTTCTCTGTGTACCCATATGACCCTCACATGCATTAATGGACTTGTTTTCATGACACCCCCTAAAAGATAGGAGGGTACTAGTCCCATTTTAAAGATAAAATACGAAGGCCTGAGGTAAATTAAGTGACTTGTCCAAGATCATGCAGAAAGTGTGACAGAGCTGTGGATTTAATCCAGGTTTTCTGTTTCCTAACCCTGATTTGAGCAGAATACCACCTCATAATTCAGAACTAAGTAATCGAAACAGCTACTCTTTAATTCAAAAGGGGTGTTAACTTCAGGTATTACAGAACAGATTTTTATGAGTGGTTTTTTTTTTATAGGCCAATAGTAAGATGGAGGAATATGATGAACTCTTGAAAAGCATGCAGCATTGGATAGAAACCACCAATGGTTTGTTAACTGCAAAGGCTGAAAATAACTCTGCAAAAGCCTTGAGTAAACATGCCAGCGTCCTTCAAGTAAGTATATTTACAAAATTTCTGTACAGGGAGCCCAAATGACAAAAAATACTATCCTAAGAACCTGCTGCTCATGTAGATATGCATTTTGAATCAACGAAATTTTCAGGCACCAATAAGGAAGTCCACTGAAAATTTGAACTTCCATGAAAAAATAAATGGCTATAGTGATTAAAGAAAATGTCAGCAGCCATCTAATAGTATTTTAAATACGTTATAGTAGGGGATCTGTCTCTTAGAAAATGATAATCATTGTATTCTGGCTTTTGTCTACTTGTTGCACTGCTTTGCACTTTATAAAATTTTACAACTCATGTTGTTGTAAACAATGCATTGATCTAGAATTAGTAGATGAGCTTTTTTTATTCCTGTGCATTTGTTAAAATGGGGTTTGCTAAGTCAGTTCTATTGTCAGGTTTTTGTAACATTGACACTGTAGGCAGGATGGTGCAAAGACTGGTTTTTGTATATGATATATGAGTTTTGGCATGAGAATGCATCAGGTTAGCTCAGAAGAATCGTTTGCTCTCAGGACATGACTTTTTCTATAAAAACTGATAGCCTTCCATGGTTGGCTTTTATATTTTTACATGATGTAGTCTGCCATAGGGGGAATGTGTATGCAAAATTATTTGAAAACGTCACAGACTCCTGTCAACCCAAGGATTAGCTTATTGTGTTTAAACTAATTCTTTACAGTTTGGAGCATTAGTATATTTTAGGCTGGAAGGCCATTATACTTGAGAATACAACAAAGGTTTGTACCTGAGACAAGGTGCATCAGTGAATCAGTCAGTCTAAGTGCTGGTGTGGTTTTGAATTGGAAGATTCAGAACAGAAGCAAAATCTTCTGCACAGCATCTATTCACAACTGGATGAGTTATCAGTAATCCTTGAAACAGAAAATATAGTGCAACAGATAAATGAAGTAAATGGTCAAGTAATAGCTTTACAGCAAAAGATCATGGAAATTCTTCCTCACATCCAGCACATGGCTGATGTAAGTCTGAAACAGTAGGCTTTTATTCTCATTTTAATCCTAGGAATAACATATAGGGAAATTCTTCATTTATAAAAGCCCAATGTGATAATTAACAGGAATGTTAAAAAGCAGTTAATTAGGTAACTGTAACTACTGAAAATCTTAGTATTAGAGCCTCCAGTGCTGGGCAGCAGCTGGTTCTCTGGGAGCTGGGCTGGGAGACTGTGTTTAACCATTCAGAAAAGGCAACAAAAATTATTAGGGATTTGGAACGGGTTCCATACGAAGAAAAATTAAAAAGGCTTGGACTTTTCGGCTTAGAAAAGAGGAGACTAAGGGGGATATGATAGAGATCAATAAAATCATGACTGGTGTGGAAAAAGTGAATAAGGAAAAGGTATTTACTTGTTCCCAGAATATAAGAACTAGGGGTCACCAAATGCAATTAATAGGCAGCAGGTTTAAAACAAACAGAAGGAAGTTTTTCTTCATTCAGTGCACAGTAAACCTGTGGAACTCCTTGCCAGAGGATGTGGTGAAGGCTAGGACTTTAACAGGGTTCAAAATAGAGCTAGATAGATGCATGGAGATTAGGTCCATCAATGACTATTAGCCAGGATGGGTAGGAATGGTGTCCCTAGCCTCTGTTTCTCTGGAGGAGGGCGACAGGGAGGGATCATGTGAGGATTACCTGTTGTGTTGCCTACCTCTGGGGCATCTGGTATTGGCCACTGTCGGCAGACAGGATACTGGGCTCGATGGGCCATTAGTCTGACCCAGTATAGCCGTTTTTATATTCTAATGGTAACCGATGAGCCCAGTTTTATTGGTTAACCATTTAAACGGTTACTATTACAGACCTAATAAGCTGTCATATTCAAGAGTATTGGTAAAATAATTTGGGGGTGTGCCTTCTGTTTATTAGAAGGAGAAACACAGTGCTTATTATTAGCTTATTCTAAAGGCCCGTCTCCATGGAGAAATTTGCCAGCAAGCACTATATTGTTATACAATTATTCTGCTAGAGTTACACCAGAATAATAGTATGAACGTGGGGAGTTATACCAATATAGGAGTGCCTTTTTCTGGTTTAGCTCATGCAGTTTCAAAGCAACATAAGGTAAATTGGAAAAAAGGCAGCCGTCTATCAGAGCAACAGTGTCCACACAGGCTGCTGCACTTGTATTCCAGAATAGTTCGGTTCATAAACTTCCTCATGTATGCAGGTCCAAGAATAGTTCATAATGTTACTTCTGGGGGAATTTTGTGCCAAAGAATTAAATTCTGCGCACATGTTTTTCAAATTCTGCAAAATTTTGCATATTTTGTCGAGTATAACGATACCTGTGTCCATTATTTTTGGTCAAAACACCTGTGAGCAAGTATGTCTGTAACAATAAAGGTGACAAAAAAAATCTGAATTTGTTTTGACAAGTAAATTTCTTACCAGGCATATTAATACTGAACTTTGAGTAATGATTCATTTAAAACTACAATACAGCAACATCTTTCCTGCACTTCTCTGAGAAATGGGTAATGAGAAACTGAGAGAGAAGAAAGTAATTGTAGAGAAGGAGCCTGTGTGTAAATTTAAAGGGTTGTTGGGTACGGGTGCAAAAAGTATAGAGTTTTTGTTTTGAGGAGTTAGGGAGGGATTGTTAGGGAGATTTCTACAGACTAGGCCCATGGACCAGTCCCAGCCAGAGTAATTGTACAGTCCAGCCCAGGACTCACAATGGGCCAGGGCTGGGGGGCAGGCCTGTCCGTTACTGGCTCACCAAACCCCGCCCCTTCCTGCCATTGGCTAACCCCCACCCCATGGCACCACACCCCCGAGCATGCAGCTTTGGAGAATCACTGGGGGAGAGGGCAGGGCAATGATTGGAAGGGGCGGGACTAGAGAGCCAATAACAGACAGGCCCTAGCCCAGCTCACCAGGAATCGGGGCCAGATTGCACCATCGCGCTGACTGGAGTTTGAGATCCCTGCTCTGGGCAGATCCTGGCTGACCCCTAGCATCTACTATTCAGTCAGGCACAACAGCCCTGTCCCCATGTGTCCTTGCACCTCCTTGTGTCCTTGCACCACCTGTCTACATGTGTCCCTCCACCCCCACTCAGAAACCCACTCCCCTATCCCTGTGAGGCCCTGCACCTTTCCTTCTCCCCATGTGTCTCATTCAGCCATCCACTGACCCTATTTGGCCCTGTTCCCCTTCCATCTGCATTTGTCCCTCCCTCCCTTGTGACCCTGTACCTCCACTCCCATTCAGTCCCTGCCACAGTCTATCATCTTCCATTAGCTCTTATGAGCCCATGTCTGTGACCCCAGCAATTTCATGCTATCTGTCTCCCCATAGCTTTGCCCTGACCTAGCAGGCACTGACAAGAAGGCAGGCTCTTTCTCTTCTCTAGCCGTCCGGGAGGTGCTACTCTGTTTTAGTGACACAAGGCCCTTTGATGGTCAAAAGGCAAAACTGCAACAATTTTCTAACCAACATTTTCTTCAGCCCCAAAAAATTAAAAATATTTGCAGCTCATTAATTACGCACACGTATAGTGGTGCAGAATTCCCCCAGGAGTAATAATGTATGATTTCAAGGTTATTTTGTTTCCCTGCTCAGGAATTAAAGCTATGTCCTGACCAGCTGACCATTAATCTCTTATTCCCTTTATGAGTTATGACAAGGAGCCTCTGAAAGACAGCACAGTAGATAGCAACTAGCTCCCAGATCTGCCGTGCCTGTTGAATGTACTCTGAATGCAGCAGCACACAATCTCTGGTGCATTATACATAATTATTAGGTTTTTAGTAATGTTCAGTTGAATACCTCTTTCTGTTATGTTTCTGGTCAAAACATAGTGTATATTACAAATTTATTTATTTATGTTTGAAGGGCAGTTTGAAAACATTTACTATTTAATATGAAACATTTAAATGAAAGCCACGTTTTGTGCTTTACAAGAAAATGTACTTTGCATTAAACTATTGGAGCACAATGTATTTAGAATTTAGATAAAATTTAGACCTGGTAATTCATTCATTTATTTGGCATTTATTAAGATAACAGCATTAATAGACACAATAACACTTAATGTGATTGTAAAATTAAATTTCATAGTCCATCAACATTTTGGATATTCTAATATATGTAGGAAGTGAATGTCATTGAATCTGAAGTTAAAATAATAGAGAAGGATGTTGCCAAAATTAAGACGATCTTGTCAACAGAAGATATATTAGATTTTTCTCCTAAGGAGCATCTTAGAAATGGACTGGTGAGTATGTATCTTATTAATCCTATTTTTACATTGAATAAATGAATCACTACATTTCAAAAATACAAAGAGTGCTTATGAATGCAAACAAATAATTATGGTGCATGTCTCATTTTTGAGGACAACAACTGTGAAATATTATCCAAGACTAGGTGTATTATGGAAATTGTGTCTATAATTCTCACAACCTAAAGGCCGAAGAAACTTTTTCACACTTACATTAACTGGTCTTGTGCAAGACTGTGAGTTGGAACATCTGTATTCTGTTTCTCTCTCTAGGAGATTTCCTGTTGACCTTGGACAAGTTGTTCATCTTACTTTTTCAGAAGTTCTGATTAATTTTGGGTGTCTCCATTTCTGGAAACTTTAAAACCTGATTTTCAGGTTCTGACCACCCAAATTGTAGATACTATCAACATAAGCTGCAGTCAGTTACAACTTCTGAAAATCAGGCCCTAAATTTCAAGGTGAACACTCAAAAATTAAAGCACTCAAAATAATTATATTAACTTCTCTATACCTTATTGTCCACATTTTGTGAAATGAAGTTAATATTAACTCAAAATCATTTGTATTTTTTACAAAACACTTGAAGATTATTGGACAGAGAAGTGTATATATGTGTAGAGTCTTATTATCCAATTACCTTTCAGTCTTACATTTCTATAATTCCATGATAATTTACTTATTAAGGACTTCATTGGATATTTTGGCCATAATGTTCTGCTTTCCATCTTTAGATACAATAAATCCAAGTTTTAAAGGTATTTTCTATTTATTTTTGTCAAGCCACGTTTTCAGTTCAACTACATGCAAAATATGTTGATTGAGTTAAGAAGAAAGCTGAAACTTTGTTAATCTATTTGATGTTCTGTTACCCAAAGGGTACTTGTTGCTGCTACAGTATATGGACAAGTAACATAGTGAAGAAATATTATACTTTGAAAACAGTATATTCTTCCTTCCCAAATTGTAACTTATGTCCACACAGAAAAATACACAAACATTTTCCCACTGATTTGAACACTTGTGAACCATAGTGTAGCTAGGGCTTTACTAGTTAGACCCAGGGTATGTCTAGACTACTGAGTTTTGTCGACAAAAGTGGACTTTTGTCGACAAAACTATACCTGCGTCTACACTACCGCTGAGTTCTGTCGACATAACGTCGACAGAACTCAGCAGTTTTGTCAACGCTGGTAAACCTCATTTTACGAGGCATAACACCTTCGGTCGACAGAGTTCTGTCAACAGAAGGTGTTATTGCCTGTAGGGTTGCGTCTAGACTACAGGGTTTTGTCGACAAAGCAGCTGGGTTTGTCGACAGAACTGAATGTGTCTAGACGCTCTATGTCGACAGAAGTTTTGTCGACAGATACTGTCGACAAAACTTCCGTCGACAAAACCCTGTAGTCTAGACGTACCCGCATTTTCACCACGATTTTATTGAAACCTGCAGAAAGAAAATGCATTGTTTGAGTAATTTTAACAATTAAATGAGCTCTATCAGTTTCTGATGAAGTCTGAAAGATACTGTGTTAACATAATAAATAGATCCAGCTTGAGGGATCCTTATCAACAGAACTGGTGTTGGATCTGCTGGGAACTTAAAAAAAAAAAAGTAGGTGAGGCCTTAGTGAGTTTTCATATTCCTAAAATAAAGCTGTCCTGCTCTTTGTCCAAATCATTAACTGAGTCTTCTGTGAACTTTGTACTGTGATGTGAAACTTTTTGACAGAGTCATGCATAGTTCATCTGAAATTGATGGAGGGCATTGAAATGTTAAAATTACCGAACCACTCAGTAGAACTATAGTACATTAGACATGACCTTGTGTCTGCACTTATTTATAAGATAGAATGTTCTGTCCTTAATTGCATATGTGTTTTTAGTAATGTGCAGCATTTCAACCATATGCCACAGCTCTACTACTCTCAATGGCCCATATGCCTTGGGTCTACTAGTCTCAATGGCCCCTGTCCTGCAAGTGTCATGACACTTCATTTAGTTTATACATTCTCATCATACATTTTTTAAAAAAACATTCTGAGGCAAATGTTCTCTGAAAATAGACTGAGAGAGAGTCTAAAATCAGTCTTGCAGAATTTACTTGAGAACTTTTTAACAGTGTGAAAAAACTGTTCATTATTTCTTCATAGCATATTCTTGTTATACTTGCATTTTTAGGTTATACTTGACCATATTAATCGCTCGAAGAAGACCCTTGCTGAGATACAGGGCTATGAAGAAGGTCTTAGGTTACCAGGAATGAGAATGCAACCTCTCTTAGTCTTCAAAAGAGCAGCCAAACTTATGAAAGAACTGAAAATGTTAGAGAAAATTACCAAGGAACAAAATGTGCTACTGGAGGTAAAGTACTTGCATTGACATCAGATGCATTTGTTCTGAAATTTCATTCAGAACTCCTTATTAATTTTTTTGGTGACAAGATGTGATTGTCAACGCAGGAACATAATACACCTGCCAGGTCTCTTATCTCTATTTTTGCATGGTAATTTAACACAAGGACAAAGCATGCTGTAAATGCCTTGATGTTTATTTAACTATGAAATTCAGCTAAAAGAGATGCCAGTTTCTTTTCCCAGATGGCTAATGCTTTCTGGCATGATGTGGCAGTTTTTGCTATTGCACAATGGCTGTGACTTTAATTGTCATATTGCTTAAAAACCTATGCTCCCACAACCCAAGTCAACACAAGGTGTGGGCACTGAAATTCAAATCCTAAACTTTTATATAGAACGTGAAAATATTGTGTTATATATATATATAGCTAGCATTCAATAACAATTCATTTGCATTATCATTAATTATTAAAATGTGAATAGTGCAAAGTCTGTTGCTGAAGGAGTTACTTCTGAAGGTTGTAATCTCTTTGATAAGAGGACTGATGTAAAACACAGTGGGCTAATTTCAACCATTGTAACTTGCACTGCTTACCATTTTGAAGTTGAACATCTTTGACCTGACCTCTTATTAGGTATTACAGCTGGGCTTCTCATAGAGGTTAGCTATCATGGGGGGGCAGTGTCTCTGAAGAGGATTTGGGGGTTCTGGTAGATGATCAGTTCAATGTGAGAGTGATGCTGTGGGTAAAAGGGCTAACATAATACTTGGATGAATAAACGGGAATCTCAGATAGGATTAAAGAGTTTATTTTACCTCAGTGGCGCTGGTGTGATCACTGCTGGAATGGTTTGTGCCCGCAATTCAGAAAGATGTTCGAAAATTGAAGAGAGTTCAGAGAAGACCTAAGAGATTGATTAAAGGATTAGGCAATATGTTAAGGAGCTTAACAAAGAGAAGGTTACCAAGTACTTGATCACAGTCTATAAGTACCTAGTGGGGGAAGAAATATTTTATAAAGGATTCTTCAGTCGAGCAGGCAAAAGTATAATATGATCTAATAGCTGGAAGATGAAATTAGAAAAATTGAGGCTGGAAATAAGGTATACATTTTTAGGGATGTTAGCGTATAGTCATGTAAACAATTAACTGATAAGCCTGGGCTTATCAGTTAATCTTAATGACTACACATACTCCCCCCCCCCTTTCTGCTTTTATATCAGAGGCAGCAAGGTATAGGGGGAAGGCAGGAGCCAGTGCTCCTTGGGAGCTGCTTTTAAGCCGGCTTTCCACGAACACTAGATCCCATGTGGATGGTTAGGAGGCCAGTGGGAGCCAGTACACGCAGGAAGCTGGCTTTCAAGCTCCCCCTCCCTCTCTTGCTCCCTCTCATATAAGCACTGACTCCCTATGAGCACTGGCACTGGCTTCGTGAAGCTGTTCCTCCCTCCTCCACGCTGCTGCCTCTTTATCATGGGCCTAGGCTCATAACAGACAGAGGCTGCTCTGTGGGATGTTGGACTGGCTCCCACCTCCCACCCCCGCTATTGCCTCTGATACACGGATGGCAGGGGGCTCCCTGGGAGTGAGTCCGAGAGCACACTGGCTGCCAGCCCTGCCCCTAGGGACTGTCAGTAATCGTGGAACCGATAAGATATTGTGCAGTTATATGATTATTAAATGAAACGACATCTAACATCCCTACATTTAACAGTGAGAGAAATTAGCCATTGGAACAGTTTACCAAGGATTGTGATCGATTATCCATCTATGATAATTTTAGAAGCCAGTTGTAAAAGTAGGCAAATACCTAGATGAGTTGATGTACCCACTGGAAGACCTCTGCATCCCGCATGAGTATGTGTATCTCCAATGAAGACCACTGGACTAGATGATCACTGTGGTCCCTTCTGTTCTTGGAATCTATGACTATTTCTGGGTTAGCAAGAGGGTGGAAGCTCCAGACTAGACAGTCCAAGATGGATCTTTGCATTTATCAGCATCATCGAACAAATGTGTGTTTTTTTTTTAAACACGCATTTTTACTGTTCTCTAGTAAAGGTAGTCCTTTAGCATCTCAAGGGCTGTTTTTCTACTGCTGTACAGTTTAGCTTTCATACCTGCTTTAGTTAACATATCAAGCCAGATTTTAGCATTGATCCCAGATGTGTGCTTATATACCCAAGATTTAGAAATGCTGGTATGGAATATACCAAAAGGTATGCACGTTCTTATAGTTGGGAGAGGACAGGGGTGGCAGCAAGGTACTGCAGCAATGCACTGCAGTGTTCAATGGTGAAGCTTCATTGATAAAAACACAAAGGCAATCTCCTTTGATCTATTCTTCATATCTCCTAGAACTGGAAGGAACCTTGAAGGGTCATTGAGTCAAGTCTGGTCCCCTGCCTTCACAGCAGGGCCAAGTACCATCCCTGACAAATTTTTGCCCCAAATCCCTAAGTGGTCTCTGCAAGATTTGAACTCACAACCCTAGGTTTAGCAGGCCAATGCTCAAACCACTGAGCTATCCTTCCCCCCCAAGGTATCAGGAATTTGGGGTTCTGTTCATTTTTTACCCTAGATTTTTATGTGAGAGTCTGTAATGTCCTACATTTCTAAATTGAAGTGATAATGTGCCTGCAAAGGAGATTTATATTATGAAGCTAAGTTGACAAAGCCCAATGAGATCCTCAGATACTAAATAATATATAAGTGCAAAGTATTATTATTACATGGGTCCCATTGGTTCAGATGGGCCCTTACATATAAATTTTCTGTGCTTTGAAACATTTTATGTGTTGGAAACAATGTGATGTTTATGTTTGGTGTTATCTCCTACAAACCTAACTCAATTTTAAGTGAGATTTCTTCATTAGAAAACAGCTTGGAAAAATTGCGTTTCTGGGCAACTTGGGAGTCATACTGTGCAGCTAAGACTCTTCAGTCTTTTGTGTAGGTTGAAAGCAAGTGTAGTCCAATATAAGTCTATTGTTTGGGTAAGATATTAGAAGGGAAGAAGTGTACTAAAGCACTGACATTTTATTAAGTGCTCTGTTTTAATGGCAATCGGCATGGAAATGATGTGCTCTTATTTTTTAAAAAAGGGGATATTAATTTTGAATACTTAAGTGTGTATGTGTTTATGTATACTTTACTCTCCATCTGCATTTATCAAGTGATAACGTAATAGGTGATTTAAACCACAGTTAATAGTTCTGCAATTTCACATTTGAGCTAATGGGGATGTGCAAGAATAGGCTCAAAATAATTAAAAAAAAAATTTCCTTGTGGGTCTTGCATTCCTTAGAACTGTCCAGTAACAAGCAAGTCTTACTTGTATTCACCAGAGTCATTTTCAACTGCTTTGCAAGTTACTTTTGGGTGATGAATAAACAAATAGTGATGATAATAATAAGAAATAAAACATAATACAACAGCTCAGTGAAGGCCTCTGCTTTTTAGTAGGAGATATGTCCACTGAACAATGCCTGCATCACACTGGACTTCTACAAGGTTTTTTTGTGACTGGGGATGTGCAAGAATAGGCTCAAAATAATTAAAAAAAAAATTTCCTTGTGGGTCTTGCATTCCTTAGAACTGTCCAGTAACAAGCAAGTCTTACTTGTATTCACCAGAGTCATTTTCAACTGCTTTGCAAGTTACTTTGCTCTTAAATAAAATCCCATCTGAGTAGCCACCAAACTAATACATACTGGATGGAAAAAGAAATTACCAAATACAAAGTACAGATTGAACCTCTCTAGTCCAGGACACACTGGTCTGGAAATATCCCTTGTCCAGAATGATTTTAGTTAGCTGGTTGTCCATTTTTCATGGGTGTGGCCAAGTTTCCTGTGCTCCCATAAGATTTGTTTTCAGTTAGTTCTGGCTCTCTGTTCTGTGCTGTTATTTAGCTCTAATTTACCCTTAAATGTTTTCTAACAGTCCACTAAAAAGTGTTATGCTGCTAGACAGTATTGACCTCCATGGTCCAGAAAATTCTCCAGTTTGGAACCAGTCAGGTCCAGAGGATTCTGGTCTAGAGAAGTTCAACCTGTAGTTTCATAGATTCCTTTATTTTCTGTACAGACCATACATAGAACTTCCCCAAAATAGTTCATATGGCACATCTTTTAGAAAAACCTTCAATCTTGATTTAAAAATGGTCAGTGATGGAAAATTGGTAAGGTGTTCCAAAGTCCATTTTATGTTCACTGTTAAAAATATATGCCTTATTTTCTGTTCGAATTTGTCTAACTTCAACATCCAGTCGTTTGTCTGCTAGATCCAAGAGCCACTTACTAAATATTTGTTCCCCAAGTAAGTACTTATAGACAGTAAAACAGTCATGAGGTATCCTTCTCTTTGTTAAACTAAATAGATTGAGCTCTTTACATGTATTCTAATCCATCAGTCAGTTTCTTCTGTACATTCTCTCCAATTTTTCAACATCCTTCTTGAAATATGAACAGCAGAACAGGACATAAAACTCCAATGTCAAATACAGCGGTAAAATAACATCTGTGCTCTCATTTGAGGTTCTCTTGTTTATGCATCCCAGGATCATATTAGGATTTATTTTTTTTTTGCTACACCTTTGCCCTTGAAAGCTCATGTTCAACCGATTACCCACAACCACCCCCAAATCTTTTTGAGTGTCACTGTTTTACAAGTTACCGTGAGTCCCCCATCATGTAAGTATGGTCTACATTTAGTAGGATCCCACTAGAAACCCACCTGCTTGGTGGTGGTTTACTTTTTACAGTTAAAACTTGAGATTTACCAGTTACTCAGCTTTTACTCCATTTAGTGTGTGCCATATTCATTCTATGTCATTCTAGTTTTTTAAATCAAAATGTCATGTAGTGCCAAGTCAGATGCTTTACAGAATTCTTTTACCAATCAAATTTGTAATCACATGAAAAACAGATATCAAGTTAATTTGACAGAGTCTATTTAAAAAACTCATGTTGATTAGTACTAATTACATTGCTCCCCTTTAATTCTTTATTAATCAAGTTGTGTGTCAACCACTTCACTATCTTGCCTGAGATTGATGTCAGATTGGCAGGTGTAAAATTACCCAGGTCATCCCACTTATCCTTTGAAAATATTGGCACTACATCCGTTTTCTTCCAGTCTTCTGAAAAAGCAACAACTGCCCAGCAAGTTTCTTAGCCAGCTCTTTTTAAAATAGCCCCAACCTGCTAGGGAAGAATCGAAGGTCAGAGAAAGAGATTTCTGAACATCAGGTAGAATATGAAAATTGTCACAAGGCCCTGCCCAAAAGTATTGGGGAAGTCAGCATAGTTGTCTGAGAAATAGAAAGGCCCGCCAAGCTCTGGATTGTCATAGTGCTTGGGCAGATGTGGTCGGGAGAGGCTGGGCTCTGTATCCAGGATGTTCATATTCAAATTTTGGTGTGAGAAATCTTAAGCGAGTCTTTCCCAGCAGCCCAGTTAATGTGTAGCTCAGGGGTGGGCAATAATTTTTGAAGGGGGAGCTACGTACTGAATTTTGCTATGTGGTCCTGGGACGGCTCCTCCCCTAGAAGGGGCGGAGCCAGGAGAGGAAGGTGTGGCGCTGGGGGCTAGTCTCCCTCCAGAGTTGTCTGCAGCTTTGAATTAAAAACACAGTGAAGGGTTCACGGCTCACAGCCCTGCCACTACTGCATTGTCTGTCAGTCGCCTGAGGTTGCTGTGGCAATTTGAAAGACTTGCGGCTCTGGCGCTGCTGGGATAGCACTGCAACCATGAGCCAATTAAATATGATCCTGTTGCCTGAGCCGCCACCTGGAAATTTGGTGGCATGGGCAGCAAGATATAAATAAAAAAGAGGCCCGATGCAGTCTGTGGGCCAGATCCAAGTGTTAGATGGGCCGGATCTGGCCCGTGTCGCATCTTGCCCGGTCCTGTTTTTAAGCTGATGAGCTATGAGCCAGTGAATAAGGACTAGTCTACGCAGGGTATATGCAGCTGGGTCGCAGAAGCATATCTGGTGAGGACAGTCTTGCCATCAGCATAATAATAGTACCTCTGTGAGGCAGTAGCTGTCCACACCAATATTAAGGTCAGTGTAACTCATGGTGCTGAGAGGGTTGACTTATTTGAGTGACGTATATAATGCCAACATAATATGTAGTGTTTACAACTCAAAGTCTTCTAGCACCTCCGATTTAAAGCATATTCTAGGTTTCCCAGTGAAAATGAGCATTTTTTTGGTAGAACTGTTATTTTATGTACTGTTTCCTGTGCCTTTCTCTTTTCATTTTGTTGTTGCATCACTTACTCCTCAAAGCTATACCATTCTCTCTTCTATTCTAATTTAAAAACAATCCTACTTCCCCCCCCAGAAAGAGCCAACATAATTTACCCCTTTGTTTTAAAGTCCATATGTAAGAGAGAAATAATTAAGTAATTTATAATAATGAGTGAGTGAACTTTGCAGGTGAATGAATGACTAGTAAACACAAAAATGAATTAAAACAAATACATATATAAAAATGTATATTGGAAAATGTGTGCTCTGTTCTGACAGTAGCAATCTGTGCACTAGCAACTATTTCTTTGTGATTTATAGTATTTTTTAAGAGTAATGTTCTCTCAGTAATACCATATGAGATAAATATTACAGCCCTTTGTCAAATCTTTAAGCAGTGGGGTGTGAGTTCCATTTTTTTGGGTAAACAGTGAAGTATGCAGATTAATGAGATTCTGTTCTTTGTCAAACAGAAAAAAAAGTATTCATTTTTCTGCATATTTCTGTTATACTGCGTGGGGTTTTTTACAAGTCCTTACAAGTGCCTTCTTCCCATCATGAGTCATAATGTTGCTGATTACATCAAAATAGACAACATCAGTCATATTCAAAATGTCAAATGTTGCAGATAGTGGTGTTGTAGCCAAGTTGGTCCCGTGGGGTGAATTAATATATTTTATTGGAACAACTTTTGTTGGTGAGAGAGAAAAGTTTTCAAGCTTCTGTGGAACTCACTCTTTGTCTCTCAAATATTGCAGATAGAATTTACCCTTTGACCTGCACAGCATGATTTATTTTTCTTGGTTGCAGGCATAGCCTACAACAATGAACAATGCCAATGAAAGGTAGGAAGGTTTTCTCATAAAATAGCATGAAACCAACACAAAGGTAATATCATCCAGTTTCTCTTTAATTTCTTCTGCACAACTCTGCTGGTGAATATGATTACAATTGTCCCTCTTCATGTTTTACAGCCAAAAGGAGCAGAATGCATAGATTTATTTTGTAAAAAATAGTTATAGCCAAAACAACTTATTTTACTACCCATCATAGCTATGAAGCAGTGTTTTTATTTTATTGTATTTATTTATGAGCATATAAACAACAGAATTTGGGAACACTAAATAAAATCAGCCCACAAATTCTTAAATTAAACCTCCAGGTACAGACATCGAAACAAGGTTGTTTGACTTTCCAATTATCTGAATTCATAGTGGAATTGACTAATTCGTTTTTGTATTTTGGTTATCATTTGAAAATAGCTAATGAAGATTATCCTTTTACAGTCGTTCATAAAAGAGACAGATGAATGTGAACAAGAAATTGAAAAATTGAAGCAGTTCTTAAAGAACCAGCTGGGTGAACTGTCAAATGAAAAACCATTATTTCCTCAGACTGCTTCCTGTCCAGAGGTGAGTTTCATTATTTTCTTTTTTCTCTGACGAGTATCTCAGTGCCCTGGACTTGCTTCTACTTCTACTATTTTATGCTATTGTAGGGTAAAGAGCAACATTTTTCTCTCTTTCTCAATCATTTCCTTACATATAAATAAGTGTGCAGATAGATTTCAGTGCAATGTACATGGCTATAGAGGTGGTAGGCTGTGAAGCAGGGTGGAGAGGGAAGTTATTTAGTTTTGTTCGGAGTCTGCTACCTCTGAGTTGGTATCTATCTAGACTAGGGGTGGGGAACCTTTTTTGGTTTGGGGGCCTCTGACCCACAGAAAAATCAGTCAGGGGCTGGGAACTGCAGGGAGGCGATGGCAGGGGCTGGAGCGCCAGTGTGTGCTCCCCAGTGCTGGCGGGGGTGGAGGCACTAAGCCTCAAGGGCCATATCTAGGGAACCCCGGGGCCTCATCCAGCCCCCAAGCTTCAGGTTCCCTGCCCTCAATCTAGACATCCTGCTGTGACAATGGCAGAACTGACCCAGTGCAAACAAGAAAGCCGGAAGACTGAGATCCTCTTTCACGGTACGGTTTGTTATTTTTTATATCATTGCTGTGTTAACAATGAACATGTAAAATACAGGGGGAAATGGAAGACATAAAAGAACAGATCATAAAACTGTGTCAGAAAAAAGATGACATACTTACGGGCATGAAGAGTTCAATACTGGAACTTCACCAGCACTTACAAAAAGAACAACCTGAACCAGAGAGTGAACTTTCCAAACCTCTAGCACCCGAGGAAACAAGCTTGGTTGGAAAAGATACCTCTGAACGACAGGTAAATAGAACACCATGCTATATCCCTCCAAAAGGTCGTAACAAGAAATGGTTAGATGCACAGTGAACATAAGAACAGCTATATTGGCTCAGACCAGAGGTCCATCTAGTCCAGTATCCTGTCGTCCAATAGTGGCCATTGCCAGAGGGAGTGAACTGAACTGGTAATCATCAAGTGATCCCTCTCCTGTCATCCATGTCCAGCCTCTGACAAACAGAGTCTAGGGACACTGTTCCTACACAGCATGGCTAATAGCCATTGATGAACCTAACCTCCATGAATTTATCTAGTTCTTTTTTGAACTCTGTTAAAGTCCAGGTCTTCACAACATCCTCTGGCAAGGAGTTCCACAGGTTGACTGTGTGCTGAGTGACGGAAAAACTTCCTTTTGTTTGTTTTAAACCTGCTGCGTATTAATTTCATTTGGTGACCCCTAGTTCTTATATTGTGGGAATAAGTAAATAAGTTTTCCTTATTCACTTTTTCCATAGCAGTCATGATTCTATAGACCTCTGTCATATCCCCCCAGGGTTTCCTCTTTTCTGAGCTGAAAAGTCGAAGCCTTTAATTTCTCTTCATATGGCACCCGTTCCAAATCCCTAATCATTTTTATTGCCCCTTTCTGAACCTTTTCCAATGCCCATATATCTTTTTTGAGATTAAACGACCACATCTGTACTCAGTATTCAAGATGCAGGCATACCATGGTTTTATATAGAGGCAATAAGATATTCCCTATATTATTCTCTATCCCTTTTTTAATGACTCCTAACATTCTATTTGCTTTTTTGACTGACGCTGCACACTGAGTGGATGTTTTCAGAGAAATATCCACAGTGACTCCAAGATCTCTCTCTTGATTAGTTGTAGCTAAATTAGTCCCCATCATATCATATGTATAGTTGGGATTATTTTTTCCAGAGTGCATTACTTCACATTTATCAACATTAAATTGCATTTTCCATTTTGTTGCCCAATCACTTTGGTCTGCTTTGGTCTTAACTATAAATTTTGCCAATTCACCATTTACCACTTTCCCCAGATCATTTATAAATAGTTTGAATAGGATTGGTTGAATAGGATTGGTCCCTGTACAGACCCCTAAAACTGACCATTTATTCCTACCCTTTGTCCCTGTCTTTTAATCAGTTATCAGTCCATGAGAGGACCTTCCCTCTTATCCCATGACAACTTGCTTTACTTAAGAGCCTTTGGTGAGGGATCTTGTCAAAAGCTTTCTGGAAATCTCTTAGTCCGAACTAATGTTACTCCTCATTTTTTGGTTCGAATCAGCTTCCTGGTTCGAATCAGCTGTGATTCGAACTAGCGCGCCGGCGAGATCATGTTAATGGAGCGCGGGATATTTAAATCCCCGCTTCATTAACTACTTCGGTTGTCTCCATTTGCATCCCTAGTTCGAACTAGGGATGCAGTGTAGACGTACCCTGACAGTTTTATTCTTACTAGAGTTTCAACTGATTTGCCCAGTACTGACATACCGGTCTGTAACTGCCAGGATCACCTCTAGAGCCCTTTTAAAATATTGTCATCACATTAGCTATCTTCCAGTCATTACAGAAGCTGATTTAAAAGGTTACAAACCACAGTTAATAATTCTGCAATTTCACTGAGTTCTTTCAGAACTCTTGGGTGAATGCCATCTGGTCCCAGTGACTTGTTTATCGATTTGTTCCAAAACCTCATCTAATTACACCTCAATCTGGGACAATTCCTCAGATTTGTCACCTAAAAAGAACGGTTCGGTTTGGGAATCTCCCTAAGCTTCTCAGCCATGAAGACTGAAGCAAAGAATTCATTTAGTTTCTCTGCAATGACCTTGTTATTTCTGAGAGCTCCTTTAGCATCTTGATTGTCCAGTGGGCCTACTGGTTGTTTACCAGGCTTCCTGCTTGTCATGTACTTGAAAAACATTTTGCTATTACTTTCTTGTCATGTACTTAAAAAACATTTTGCTATTACTTTTTGAGTTTTTGGTTAGCTGTTTCTTCAAATTCCTTTTTGGCTTTTCTTATTATATTTTTACACTTAATTTGACAGAGTTTATGCTCCTTTATATTTTCCTCATTGGAGGGAGGGGGCTTTATTTTCCATGGGGGTGGCCCTTTGAGGTTATTTTTTAACACGTGGAAAAACAATTTGTGGTTACTTGAAATAAATGCAAAATGCTGGATCTGTAATTTGTATGGTAAGGAATTTGTTTAAGGATTTTTCAGTACATTGTTTGCATGGAGCAGAATGATTGTTATCTCAATTGTAGATATGGCTTTAAAAACTAAAAAAGAGGCTAAAGGGCCTGATTATCAATATTGTTGGGAACCTACAGCTTGTAACCACTTCAAATGGAGCTGCAGGTGCTCAGCATTTCTCAAAAATTAGGTGCAAAATGATAGCTTTTTGCAAAAGGGGAAAAGAAAAGAGTCTCTTTGTGGAGCTAAGGTTAACTGGACTCTATCTCTCTCTGTACATTGTAGATGAAAAAGAAGGGATCAATGTCTCTCCTACCATCTTTAGTTGAAGAAACAGAAGATAGTTCATTCCTCAGTGAAGTAAGTATAATGGAGACATTGGTAGAAATAAGAAAAAAAATGTGTAAATATAAACATTTGTAGAATAAATTGGAGCATCTCTAATAGGGAATATTTTCAAATTAATTTAAAATCTGACAGACAAATAAAATATCCATTCTTGAAAATTATATATTAGAGGCAGATCCTACCACCTAAGACTATGTCTAGACTGCAGGCTTCTTTCAGAAGAATCTTTTCCGGAAGAGATCTTCTGGAAAACCTTTTCGAAAGAGAGTATCTACACAGCAAAAGCACAACAAAAAAGCAGTGTACTTTTTCAAAAGATCGTTCACATTGTTTGAACTTTTTCTTGCATTTCCGTTGTGATTACTGTGGACGGAGTGGCCACCTGGACACCTATGCTTTTTCCTGGAGGTCTCCTCTTTCTAAAAACCACTCTCTTCCCCATCCACACATGCCTTTTTCAGAAAAAGTCTTCTTCCTCGTAGAATGAGGTTTACCACTGTTGAAAAAACCCCTCCATTCTTTTGACTTTCTGTCGAAAGAACGCAATAGCAGTGTTGACTTAAGTATTGTTTTTCCGGAAAAACTCTGCAGTGTAGACATACCCCTGGATTTCATAGTGTCTCATTCTTGAATTATTTTACTGACGATTGGGCCTGGATTTCATAGTGTCTCACTCTTGAATTATTTTACTGACGATTGGGCTGCTTGCAGCGTGAGACTACTCCAGCACCTCTGCCTACAGCATCTTGCAAAATACAGGGGAGGGTATCACCTCCCTGAAGGAGTTCAGACTCTAAGAAAAATAAAATCTAGACTAAATACGAGGCACGAGATTAAGTAAAGAAGAGTGTGGCAAGATCATTGATGATGACAACAAAGTGGAAAGTGTTGCTGGGAGAAATGGGCAATGAGGGATTTTTGGCAGAGAGGGCAGTTGATGAGCATGAATGGGAAACTTTCAAACATAGAGGGAATCGCCCTGGTAGTTGTGGAGGAGAAGATGGGGAAGACAGCAAAGAGAGGTGCAAGGCTGTGTATTGAATGATGGGGCGAGTAAGAAGAGAGTACAAAGAGCTTGGCTTTGATGATATAATGTACCAGAAATCAGTGAAGTGATTCATGCTGTGGGATACATGGGACAGGAATAATTGGTGTGGTCTGAGAGACAGTTGACGACTTCAGCAGTCACATGTGAATAACCTAGTTATTCTAAGTGTCCTTGCTCACAGGCCATTGTAAGCAGTCAAGTCCATTAACTCTGTTGAAACGTTTGGGAAGCACTATTGGTTACCTTTTAACAACCATGGGGTACAACGGGCCCTTTCCTCAAGGCACTGAGGTGCCAGTGTGCTTCCCTTGGATAGAATGCTCTGGGAAGAGGCTGTAATGTCGTAAGAGTTCATTGCCATATTATTTGTATTCAAAAGATGCATTCAACAGAAGAAAATAATCTCTGGGGATTTGCAAAAGGAAAAATACAGCCTC